GATGCAAGAACACGTCCACGTACTTGACCACGTGGGGGTGGTCGAGGGACTGAAGGAACTTTGCTTCCTGCAGCGCATCGTTGCCGGCTCGGATGGATGGGCAGGGGACTCTTTTGATGACTCTCACATACCCTGTCAGTATCTCCGTCGCTGTCATCGTCCTCCCCTGCCCTCCGCTACCTAGCTCGCGCCAGCCATTGAAGCCCTCCATTCTGTCCCCTCTCCCGTAGGGACGTGGAGAGGAGGAGGAGAGGAGGAGGAGAGGAGGAGGAGAGGAGGAGGAGAGGAGAGGAGAGAAAGAGGGGGCAGTGGAGGGAAGGGAAGAGGAGAGTTTCTCGTCGTACAGGACAGTGTCGCGGATCAGGTTGGTGACGGGAACCTTTGGGGAACATCAGTTTGATAGCAGGGAAGGAAGAGGGGAGAAGAACAGGGAGACTGGAGAAGAGAGGAGAGAGAAGAGTGGAGGTATGGTCAAGGAGGAGGAAGAGGAGGGGATGCTGAAAGAGAACCTCGGCTGTTGGAATGAGGTAAAACTTTCTGTCTTGATGTCCCGTCTACAAGAGAAAGTGAGGAGGAGGGCAGGGTGAGAGTTGGAAAGAGAAGCAGGAAGAAAACGAGCAGGAGCAGGAAAAGGAGGAGGGGAATGAGCAGGAGCAGGAGCAAGAGGACCATGAAGAGGTCGTCGGCAAACTTGGGGAGTTGTCCTAGACCAAACATCAGATGAGCCCGCACGTGGGTCGACGTCACCCGTGCCGATGAGCGTCTCCTCGTTGACGATGTAGGGGACGTAGACCTCCGAGTATCTGAAGGAGACGCTGAGAAGAGGAGGGGGAGGAAGGGGGGGGGAAGGAGGAGGAAGAAGGGAGGGAGAGGGGAGGGAAGGAGGAGGGAGAGAGGCGAGTGGAAGGAGAGGGAAGGGGGGGAGAAAGGATGGAGATAGCAAAAGTACGAGCAGAGGAAGAGAGACCATGGCAGGGTGAAAGGGGAAGCAGGACAGCAAGAGGAAGGAGAAAACAAACAAAGGAAAACGAGGAGGAGGAGGGCGAGGTGGAGGAGGTTTGAGCTCTACCCGTGCTTCTCCACGTGCGTGTCAAGCATGAACTGAGCAAGAGCTCTGTGAAGCTGAGCAACTGGAAACCCCAAGTTACCACCAATACCCATCACCCTCCTCCTCCTCCTTCTCCCCCCCCCCCAACCTCCTCCTCCCTATCCCATCCCTCGTCCTCCCCTCTCATCATCATTCCCTCTTTTTCCCCCCTCTCCCATCCTGGCCATTTCTCTTCCTCCTCACCTTGACCCTGGAGTGTCACGAATCGAGCTCCTGATATCTTCGTTGCTGCAGCAAAGTCCATCCCCTTCAGACCTGCTCCGACATCCACGTGGTCCTTCACCTGCTCCTTCCGTCACTCCTTTTCCTCCCTTCCCTTCCCTTTCCTTCCCTTTCCACTATCCTCCTCTGACTCTACCAGCCGTTCCCCTTCTCCTCCTTCTCCCTCTGCCTTCCTCTTCCCCACTTTCCCCTCCAGTGTTCAACCGGAAAATCGAATGTCTTCGGTTCTCCCCACCTTCACCTTGAAGTCAGAAGAACAAAATAATCAAGGAGGAGGAAAAAGGAGGAGGAGGAGGAGGAGGAGGAGGAGGAGGAGCAAGAGTCGTAGAATAGAAGAGGTGGAGAGGAAGGGAGGAGAAGGAGGAGGAGGAGGAGGAGGAGGATGATGATGATGATGATGATGAGGAGGAGGAGGAGGAGGAGGAAGAGGAGGAGCAAGCTACTTGTAAATCTCGACGTTTTCGGTCTCGTCGCTTCCAACAGGGCTTGACTCATGCGGGGCATTGGGGATGTTGAGAAGCATGTGCTCCAACTATGATGACGTCAGCGACGGCAGGAGAGAGGAAGAGGAAGAGGAAGAGGAAGAGGAGGAGGAAGAGGAAGAGGAAGAGGAAGTGAAGCTGACCTTGACCTCGATGTCTTTCATCTTGGCTTCATACTCTGAAAGCAGCAAGCAAACCGATCAGAGCAGAGGAGAGAGGGGACGAAGGGAGGGGAGGGGAAGGGAGGGGAGGGGAGGGGAGGGGAGGGGAGAGGAGAGGAGAGGAGAGGAGAGGAGAGGAGAGGAGAGGAGAGGAGAGGAGAGGAGAGGAGAGGAGAGGAGAGGAGAGGAAGAGGGGGGCAGGGCAGGGCAGGGGGGAAGAGGAGAGGGCAGGGGAGGGAAGAGGAGAGGAGAGGAGGGATCATTCACCCTGCACTTGTGACTTCAACCCTTCGACCTCCTGCGGTCATTTCAATTAGAATGGGGGAAGAAACAAGAGAGACGAGCAACAAGGCAGGCAAGGAAGGTCAAGTGGGAGGAGAACGAGAGGATGAGAGACAGGGAGGGAGGGAGGGAGAGAGGAAACGAGCAGACAGGACGAAAAGGAGGAGTAGGAAGAAGGAGAAGAGCACGAAGAGGTTGAGGAGGTTGAGGGGGAGATATGCAGCAAGGCCGAGGACGAGGACGAGCAACAAGCACGAGGAGCTAGATTTGACCTCAAGGATACTTGATACATCCTCTCCCTTGGACTTCAACATGCCGATGCTCTTCGACTTGGTGTTTCTCTCATGGAGAAGTTCGTTCTAACCATCATGTTATTATCCTCCTTCACGATGCAGCCAGCAGAAGCACATGCATGCACATCAACAAAATCGATCCCTCATCTCATCGCTCACAGCAGGCAGGCAGGCAGGCAGGCAGGCAGGCAGGCAGGCAGGCAGGCAGGCAGGCCTACCGCCTTGCTTTGCACAACTTTTCGCTCTGCCTCGATGGCGAGGATCGCATCGATGTCAAGGTCGAACTTCTTCCTGGCTAGCAGCGCTGCTGTCTCCTTGAGCGCTTCTGGCGTCCTTCCCTTGGACTGGAACATGCTGGAGATGCTGCCCTTGAGGACAAGCTTGCTGAAATGTCTCTTTCTTCCCAGCATGCCCATCCGCTGCAGCTTCGTAGCGAAGGGAGAGACCGAGTTGAGATGGTTGGAAAAGATCGACGTGTGGAAGGCAAACGCAGTGCCTGAAGCATTCGGGTTAAAGCTCATCCAAAGGAAGGCAAGAAGACGCCCAGGCAAGGAGAAAGGGAACAAATGGGAACAAGCATCTATGATCACAACAAACACCCGCAGGCGTTTCAGGCATGAGAGGCAAGGTGCTCTGCGGCCTGCGCTGCGATGACAAGCGCAACATGTTTCAGCTCACCTGCTGCTCGCGTGCATGACGTGAGTCCTGCCACCATCGCCGCTGCCATCGCCGCTCGCACCAGGTGCATGGCGGCCGCCTGGGGAATTGGAGCGTAGAGTGTCAGAAGAAGAAAGTTGAGGAAATATACAAGTAACGTAGGACATAGTTCATGAAACGCAGGACATGCTCCCGGCCGAGTCCAACTCAGTCGGGCCGGCCCCGCGGTCGGGCGGGGCTCCCGGGCCACTGCTCAGTAAAGTTACTCGACTGGCCGGCCCGAGGGGCGCTGCCGGGGCCCGGCGCCGCGCGCAGGGCAGCAGCTATCATCGGTTCGGGCGGCTGCACTGAGGTTGACGGCCTAAACCCGCCCGGTTGATCAGCCGCCTGCGGCCGCCCGGGGCTCAGCGCTTGTTCAACGGTTTGAAGGCTTCACTGAACTTTTCGCTCACGGTACTCCCAGACATGATTCAACTTGTTTTTTTAGAAGTTAGTCGCACGTTTGACGACCGCACAGGACATAGTCCTGCGACAAGTACTATACTATAATTACGACCCGGCCGGCGTCATCCGAAGCTCGGCCGGGTCATCATGGCTTACGGCTGCTTTCATTCTTCTCTTCCTCCTAGGAGCCTTCAACCGGACAAGCCAGCAGCGTGATCCTCCCAGGCCCCTTCGCCTTTCCTCGTGTACAGTCGACAAGCAAGTCCCAAGCTGCCTCATCCCAGGATGTAGGAGAGAGCCAAGGGAATGTTGCGGCAGGTCCTGCGATGCGTTCAACCAGGGAGGAGCGAAGGAAATGCAACACGAATCGATAACGAGGAAGAGGAAGAATAAGCAGTAGAGACAAAGAAGGGGGGGGGGGAAGGTTCGAGATAGAAGGAAACTGCATGCAGACCTCAGGATTTCCGTTGCATAGGCATCTGTACAAGTCGCCGGCAGTCCCGGTGGAGGATGCATCCTAAAGAACAAGGTGAGGTGCGAGCAGCTCAGTCGAAAGCGTCTGGACTCACTTGACCGTGATCTCTCCACCCGCGCTGACTCGGATCTCGATGCACAGGAGCATCAAACAATCCTGCAGAGAGGAGGAGAGGAGAGGGGGAAAGGCGACAGACGAGAGGAGGAGGGTACGAGAGAGCAGGAAGAGAAGACAGACAGGCCGCATCAGTCCTGTCCCCTCATAGGAAATCTAAGTGTGATGCACCTCGCTGGCCTCCGGGCTCAGATGAAGGAAGATCGTGCTCGGTGGCAAGACGGTGATCTATCGCAGCCGTCAACCGCTATCGACAGGTGAAGCATGCATCGAAATACCTCCACGAGCTGATCCAGCTTGTTCTGTCGCGCTTCCTTCATCTCCGCATCCTGCTGCTCGCTCTGCTCTGCCCCGTCGGCAGCGCTGTTGACGCACTGATTCTCTTCGTCCTCCTCTGCATCCTCTTCGATCCTCTCGACCTCCTGGAAGCAGCTGCGCAGAGGAACAAGTAAGCTCGTCAGGGCACGAGTCAAGTGTAACTGTGAGGTCAACCTGACCAACAGCTCGTTCAAGACGAGGGTCTGTCGGAGGTCTTGCAGGACTTGTAGGATCTGTTCCCAACGACGAGCCCAGCAAGTGTCACACACATGAGCCAGCTCGTTCACGAATCACCTGCGGCGCAGTCTCCACCGGGATCGAGTGAATTTCAATGCCGGAGACTAGGTGAGGGTGAGGAGACGAGGACGGGAAGGGCATGGAATTACTTGGGTTGCTGTGATCGACGAAGGAGAAGTTCCTCCCTCTGATGCTCATGCGATACGGGTCTCTGACGGGCAGCGACGTTGAGAATACGAGTCACCAACCACTGTGCCTCACCTTGTGTACTTGAAGTCGGCAGGCAAGACCAACGACTGCCATCGCACGGCATGGCTCGCACCCGCAAGAGGAATGTCGCCCAAGGGAGAAGATATAGAATCTGCTCTCTGCTGCGATTCCTCTTTACCCCCCTCCTTGCTTTCCTTCTGACCCTCCTTCCCCTGATCCTCGGTAGTTTCCCTTTGTGTTTGATCTTTTGCCTTCCGCAGAGCTCTCTCCGAAGCCTGAATTCCATTCTTCGATCATGATCCCATACGACCAAGACAACAACAATCACCTCAAGCTTCGCAGCTGTTGCGATGCAGATGTGTACCGGCGGATTCAGCTTCAGGCACATGGCTGCAGGATCATCATCTCTGGGGTAAAAATCGGCAGATTGCCAATCACCTGGTTGTACAGACGACTTGCTTCCCTGTCCCTGTAGTGCTCGATGAGAAGGAGGAACAATGAGGAGGGGGATGGGAAAGATCGGGCAGCCACGATGTGTACCTGGATCACCCCCTTCAACTCCAGGATGGCCCGATTCGTCGTGAGGTCTGAGGAGAACCCGCTAGGCTGCAGTTCCTTCCGTGAGAAGAGGAATGAGCTGCCGGGAGCACTTACCTGATAGAACTCAAACTGCAGTCCCTCAACCAACCTCTTCACCACCCTGACCGAAAGTCATCAGCATGGGCTGGAACTCCGCAAGACACGAGAGATACCCGTAGCCGCTCAAGTGGTCCAGAGTCTCTTCCATCGGCTCTGTGTTTTCCGCTTTTGGTTGGTGTAATTGTGCAGAAACTTCCTTCTCAACTTCGATTTCCAACTGAGACTGGCGTCAGCTATTTGATCTCATTCAATGGCAGGGAAGCCATACAACGAAAATCGTCCACACAGTACACCTCCAAAGATCATGGGCATCACCTTTCTCAATGCATCGTATACTCCAGCGTTGGGAGAGCGCCCATGAGACTTGCAGCAGGCTCAACAGATGGAAAAATACACAAGCCAGCGAAAAACCTCTTCTGTCTTTTGTAGCGACTTGAATTTGTCTCGCAACGATGCCTCCAAATCCATTGACATCATTCCTTCTCATTACGTGAACAACATGTCCGTGGAGAACAAAGCAAGATTGTCCCTGTACCTGCTGCAATATCCTCATTCATCTCAATCCACTGTCTTTGTACTGATTCGGCCTTAGTAAATTGTTAGAGGAGCATTACATACTCTGTTGAACTCATCTTACTTCGTTTGGAACTGTATCTCCTGTACTCAAGATTCTTTGCAGCTTGGCCCAAGTAACCTGAAGAACATTCAAAACCCTGCTGGCACAAGAAGTTCTTCACCTTGGCTGACTGATCGACATGGAAATCCAGAACGTAAGTTTGGCCTGACAAGCAGTGCGTAGGCTGAGTCGGGTCCACAGTGCTGAAGAGTATTCATCAGTAAGAAGAATCGCTTAGAACTTCCATGTTACAACCTGCCTTCCTCTTCTAGCTGGAAAAACGATACTCCGTCTACAACAAATCAGAATCGAATGTCAGATTCAGGATCAGACTACAAAACTCAAGGTCAGTTTTGATTACCTTCCCTTGCAATAGATTCAAGATGCTCCAAAAACTTTTTCCTTGAAGAGTTGGAAGAGTTTCGTTCCAACAATCTTCGACATCTATCAATAAGGGGTGTGAGCTTCGAGGATCATCACGGATTTGTTGATTCGAGAGATGCTTACGATGTCAACGCCTGCTTGTTGTCTTGCAATCTTGACACTCTATCAGCTGCTTCCTTGCAATGTAGCAAATATCTTCGGATCGGGACAATAATTTCAGCCTGTCATATTTGAAAGCAGATCATTTCACCTTTGTGCTGTTGCTCCGCCTTCGCTCTGAGAGGATTCATCACGTGAGAATGAAACGAGTGGAAATCTTTTAACGAGCTTACTTGACTCCACTTTGCGAATGATTCCAATGCCTCTGCGATGGACGACAATTTGGTCTGAAAAACCGATGTCAGTGAAGGGTTCTCAAAAATTACTGAAGTGTGCGTTTACCATCACAGCAACTTCATCGATGTGGTTCACAGGGCCCATGCTGTGATATCCTCTCGAATCCCCCTTGTCAAGCATCAGGTGTGTGGGTAAGTTAAGACCAAGTGTCTCAGGCATACCGGTTTGGTCATTTCTTCGAAGCAGGGTTCGAGCAGAGACTTGACAAAAGAGAGCTGTTGCAAACGAGTAAGAGGTGTTCGATATTCATCGCGGAATTTCAGTACTTGATGCCGAACTATCGGGAGGTTGATCGTTGTCATCGACTGAACGCCTGAGATTTGAAAAGTTTCAGGAACCAGTAACAGACACATCAATCATACAAACACGCTCATCGAACCAGTAACAGACATCTTTCGACATACCTGGGTCTGCATTCGATTTTGCTTGGTTTTGCTGTTGATTCGAGTACTGTTGTTGTATCTGCTGCTGCTGCATCTGCTGCTGCTGGAGCTGCTGCTGCTGGAGCTGCTGCTGCTGGAGCTGTTGTTGGGTCATGTGCTGGCATCAACTTTCAGACAGACAACAACACAAGTAGACCAGGACTCACAGGTGAGCCACCTCGCTGTGCCATGTTCGGCATCCCAACTGATGCAAGATAAGAGAGCGATATCCGTGGTTTCAAACAACAAACCTCCGGCCATGTATCCAACATGTCCAGTGTTGTAGGGCATAGGCCCTGGAAAAAAATACATCAAAAGACTTGAAGTCATCTTTCCCGAGCATGCACGGCCTTGCTGTTGGCCGCATGTCTCACGTATGACAAACATCAAAAGTCTAAGTCAATCTCATGTCTGCAACCATTCAATTGCTACAACTCTTGTCGATTCTGGGCAAGACAGATTCTATTTGTATGCTTTCAAATTCCGAGCTCGTGTAAGCGCCTTAGCGGTCATACATTCCTACCTTCATGTCGCCATCACTTCATGCTCCACAACGAAACTCCCATCTCTCCCTTGACTCTACCATGAACACTGGCTGCAGCTAACCCCCCCCTTTCGGCAGCTGACGGCCCTGCCCACGCCATGGCCACTCTCTACCGCCTGTTCCCTCCAGCGCTTCCCCTTGCAACCAGCATCATTCATCCCTGTCTTGCATTGTATCTCTATCCATAGCTCGAGAGCTGCTTCCTCTCCCGCTTCCCTCCTGTACTTACCATTGTTGTATCCCCTCCGCATGCCGCCGACGGCGCGAAAGCTGGCCCACTCCGACTACCCCTCGTCTACACTCACCCCATCAACTCCCATCCAAATCACCCCTACAAAAGCTTATTTATTTAATTAGTTGAATTGATTTTCTTTGAAATAAGTCAGTCAGCTTATTTGTTTACTTTGCCAGGAACTGAACTCCGAGCACGGTCCGATCACTCCGAGAGGCCCGGGCCGGGAACATGGCACTCGTACTGATTTTTAACTTAACTTTGAGTAAAAGATGCAAGTCAACCCGGCCATAAGGCTCTAGTACCGGTCCTTTCCAGGCTGATTACGGAAGTTCTTGTGGGTGTCAGGGGGTGGGTCTCGGGAAGTTGACCTGAAGGCTGGCATCCGTTGACTCGGTTTGCCAAGGCAGATTGCCGCCGGGGTGTTGAACACACGCGATTGTGTGTGGAAGCGAAGGAGAGTGAAGACAAGTTAGTTTCATGCATCAAGAACCGTGAGATTCAAGTTGAAGTGGAGAAGCCTGAGATGCGAGGCGAAGATAGGTTAGACGACAACACAAACAAAGGAAAGCCATTTTGAGCAAAGTGGCTTGATGGAACAACAGCATGCCTAGTGATCAGTCTCGTTGATTGACTTCAATTTCTCTTTAGGATAAATGGTCAAAGCAGCATTGTGCCAAGGATAGATAAAGCGAGTTGTCAGCTGGCATGAAGGTTTGTCGATCATGGTGAGAGATTTCGAACGTGACAACCTTGCAGGGCAGCAGACCGTTCACTCCTGCATCGCATGCAAGCACTTCAAAAATGACTCATTCCTCAGCGTATGTGACAGGGGCATCAACAGGTTACCTGACCTGAGGTACAGGAGGGTGGCCGGGAGGCAGACCAACTTCGGGATGGTGTCACGTGATATAGGGATGAGGTGGCGATATCTCAGTAGCCTGAATCCCCGAGCTCAAACGCTATGCAGGCAGTGGCACCAAAAGGAGATGGTGCGGCTGGAGCTCCGCCGGAACAAGATAGCGTGCCAGGACAGCGTACGAGCCTTTGATTGAAACATCATCTCAGCATCGCCTTCTTCCAACTTGTGACCTCCAGGACGGGCTGTCCCTACAAATCCCCTATAGACCGCTGACCGGGGGGTCCACGTACGGCATCCCCCTTCCCTACTTGTGGGTCTACACGCAGGTACCTTCTTCAAAGACCACCTTGTGCCAGGATTGAGGTCCTTCTCAGCCTTCCAGGTTCGAGGATCGACCCCTTGCTCTGGAGCAGGTACGTGCGCAGTTCCACCAGCCCTGGAAATTTGAGACCAGCATTGACTTTGGTGTTCAAGTGGAACGGAAAGATGCGGTTGGAGACCAGCGATCTCCCCAAGATCTCGCCTGTGAGTCGATCCTGCTCGAACGCTACTCTGGTGGAATCACCTTGAGGTGGCAGAGGAAGGGGCACGGGCTGCGGTTGGTGAACCGGAGCCCTCTCCGATCCTTGCATGAGGAGCAAGTCTCGCTGGCTGAAGATGATTCGACAGAAGCTCATCATATTCGCTTCTTTGATGAGACCAAGGCGTGCCCTCCTCCCTCCTGTCCCCATGCAGCGATTCTCACTTTGCGTCTACAGCCCAGGACGATCGAACAGTACTGCCAATCTCGGAGGTCGCGTGGTGGACCCCCGGGGAACACCCCTCAGGTATGTCTTGATCTTTGGAACTAGCAGGTGCAGCCTGAGCTGATTGCTGTGCCAAAGAACTCAAAGTTTCCTGCAATCAACATGAATGTCTCGGAGGGCCTTTACCGTGTTGCTTGAAGGAAGTGGTGTACTGTAGGAACCTAGTTTTTTTCGCAAATGAGTTCAATAAGAGTTCTATTCTTTCACACCATTTAAATCTACACTTGGATTTAAATCTACACTTGGATTTTGGAAGAATAGAGCTGGAAAGAGACCGAATGTACACTATAATAAGGTAGAGCGATCACGAGAAAGAGTATACTACACAAGTAGAAAAACAATCATCTAGATTTGTTGGGGCTGACGTATTGCTTCATCGGCTCTTGCTTCATCAACCATTTGCTGAATTCCTCGTTGGTAACATTCACGATATCTGCCCTGTCAATCTCCATCAAATGGCACAGCCTAGGTTCAATGGAACTACCTCTTCAAAGCATTTGCTATGCGTGCGGCCAAGATCTGGTAGTACAATCATGACATGAATGGAAAAAGATTGGAAGAAGATACATGCTTGCAGGTCAATGCTTCCATCTTGTTGATAACATTGTAAGAGAAGTAATGACAGGGGCAGAAATGTTTGAAACAAACTGCGAAAGTTGATAAGGTTACCCCAGCAATCATATGAAAGCAAAATCAAAATGTAATCAAAGACAAGAGCATCACGTACACAGCGGGTAACAAAACAACAATTTTCAGGATCTATCATATCGTTGCAGCTCCTCACGCACCGTATGGATCATCTTGGCTGCTCTCCACAAGGAACAGAGACCTCCCGCTGTCGGACACGATCTTCTGCACATAGCCTTTGTCTACCAGCGCCAGGGAAGCTTCTAGAGTCGACCTCTTGAAGATGGATGTCATTCTGAACAGGATCGAGTCACTCAGCTCCCCCTGTCGCTCCATGTCCTCGAACATTGCGTCGCTCATCGCCCCTTCCACCGCCCCGATGCCCGCCATGCCGCCACTACAACCCTGAAGGGAGGGTCCGCCTCGGATTGAGAAAATGTTTTATTTTTGTACTACCAATATCTATCATCCACAATTCCGGTACAAGTGTCAGCACATTCTGTACAATATTTAAAAGACTTGTAAGAGTCGGCGCAATGTGGGTCAGAGCAGGGCTCTGATTCGGCGGCGGCGGCAGAAGATTGCGAGGAGAGTGCGAGGAGAGTGCGAGGAGAGTGCGAGGAGATGGTTGCGATGGAAGGTCCCGATAGACTGGACTAGCTCTGGTGGCCTTGGTTGGGGAGTGTCCGATAGGCGCGCATGGCTCCGTTCGTATTCGCCTCCATAGGGAAGGAGGGAAGGAAGATCCTGGAGGAGGATTTCAAAGTCGACGGCATTAAGTTCATTGCTGTGAAATCAGGCGAATCTGATGAGCTCCATACCGGGTCCAAGACCGCACTCGAGCTCGATCTCAATGAGCAAACACTGATGGGGACCTTTGAGTTCCACAGGAAATTTGCAGAGGACAAATTCAGCACGGTCTTCTCATGCATCGGGCCGTCGGCATACTTCAAGCTGCCGAACCGCCATGCCTTCATGACGAGCATGCAGCCCATTTTCAAACACAGACGCCCGATCGATTTCTACATTTCAGGTCGCCCGGCTTCGTTGGAATTCATGATGAAACGTGCTGAGGGGCACGTAGAGTTGAATCTCAACCTCCTGCATGAGAGGTGCTCTGCCATGACAAAGTATGTTCCATCTACAAGCAATTTCATGTTGTCGTTCGCTTCCATGACGAGATGGATGAATGCTACGCTGAGTGTCGGGCTCAAGACAGTGTTCCAGGGCAGAATGTTCGCTAACACAACTGTTGCAACGGAAGTAGGATACCACGATCTGACAGCCGAGCTCAAGTATGCGAATATCGCTGACAAACACAAACGACAGAAGTTCGTAGGAACGCTCCATGGTAACTTTCCTTATCGGGTGGAACCAGCACTTTCGTTATGTTACACGGTGGACGCTGAATCTGCCATGTTTAACGTTGCAGCTGCAATGTTGTATAAGATCTCCTCGACGTCTTGGGTCAAAGTCAGAACAATAGACATGAAGAAGATGGCAGTGGCTGTTTCCACACAACTTTCGCCATCGTGCACTGTGAAATGTGTCACAAGATTTGAGTTTCGACGACCGTTCACCGGGATCAACAAGCTGCAATATGGCATGGAAGCAAAAATTGACATCTCGGAGGTCTCCAAGTTGGATCGTTTTGTCAATGTGTTGCAGATGGTGGCGGTCTGTGGAGGGCTTTTGTGTATGTTGTGATGCACAGACCGCAGACAGGGACATTTCAAACCTTGAATCTGAGCTCGTTCAGAACACTCCTTGATCGGCTACCGCCATCAGATCGTCAAGTTGTCTGTATGCGGCTTCTTTTGGTGTTTTCAAAGATTTATTAACATTTCTCTTCTACCAAACCATCCTTGAACAGATACATGGTCGGGCTGACGTCCTCACCTTCGTAGGTGAACATAGCCAGCGATCCTTCCGTGTTGAAGCTCGGCCCCGTGTAGAACTCGAAACTGTCGATGTCCTTGAGGAGGACCTCCTTGATCCACTTCTGAGACTTCTCTTGAAACTGCTGGGTCCTCTCAGGGTTCTCTTTGTCCAGTCGCTCCTTTATGGTCTTGAGGTAGGCCTTCGCCCAGGCTAGAGCTCCTTTCTTGTCGAAGCCCCCGATGGACTGCAGCCTGAAAGCGTCAACGACGTCGATGACCTTCTCCACCTGGTCGTCTACTCCGTCTGCTGCGTCTCCATCGTCCTCGCCCTGATTGACCGCTATCCCCAGATCCAGCCCTCCTTTGGTCACATGCTTCGTCTTCACTTTGAAGAGCACATCGTCGACGTCTTGCAGTTGAAACGAGTCACTGATCATCTCGTCTCCAGATGTGATGTCCTTGTAAATGATCATCCCGCCCCTCAGGCGCATTGTTCCCGCGGCTGTAAGCGACATTCCCCAAGTGCTGCCCATCGACAGGGGCCCTTTGAGGGCATCTCCGCGACCAACTCCTGCAGGACGAAGAGGAAGGGAATGGAATGCGCTCGAGAAGGATGGATCGAGGGGGGAGAGCGAAGCATGTGCATGTGCAGCTGCGCATAGCGCCAAGCAAGCAAGGAGCGAATGTCCTGCCATTCGGCCTCTGCACGAACGGAGGAGCGTCCCTTGTCGGAGATCACGATCCATGTCCACTTTTTCAACGAGATTGCTAAAAATTGGAATTTGATCAAGTTAAATGTTCAAAATTTATAATTATATTTCAATAAATTACAGATATGTGTGAAAAATATCCCTTGCCACTCACAGCGTTTCATACTACTAGCTTGTTGTCCAGGTTTCTTTGTTGGGGGATGAGGGCCAGTCCAGTCATCCTCACCTGGCACGTCAAAAAATGGCCCAACGTCACCGTCGTACCCCACCGGCCCCCAGTCCCAACTGATCCACTCAAAGGAGGGGGTAGGGGTACCATGGGCTAGAAAACATGGTCATGCGGAACATCGCTGGGTGGGGCGGGGTTTGATCGGACAGTGAGAGGAAGAGCGAGAGAGAGAGAGAGAGGGAGAGGGAGAGGGAGAGGGAGCGAGAGAGGGAGAGGGAGCGAGAGAGGAACTTCGGAATGAGAGCGAGAGCGAGAGCGAGAGGGACAGAAGAGAATCTGGAGGGACAGAGAGGGAGAGGGAAGGCAGATGGGCATCAGGAGACGGGCAAGCAGTCTGCTCCCTCCTGAGGAGGGAAAGGCAAAGAGACATTTTTGTCAGCGAGAAGGCTGGATGACGATCGGTGGAACCAGGCGCTGAGGCCAGGTGTCGTCAGGTAGATGATTGTAAGAGATTTCTTTACACCTAGAACGCCTCGTCATGGAAGAGTAGTAGAGTAGTTCCTCAGTTCTCAAGGCGAAGCCTTCTCCATGACTGATTCAAACTCACAACAGGTCAACCATCATTGCCGAGCCGGTTTTGACCAGCCTTTCTCCTACTTTCACTTGAGTCCCCAGAGAAAATTTCCAACCTCGTTGCCCTGGCACCCGCTGTCCTCAACGGCGATGTGTCTTTTGGAAGCCTGAGAGCGTCGAAGAGCCATGTATCGCTGTGAGCAGAGTGCCATCCTCCAGTGCTAACTTGAGCAGCAGATCTGAACTGAGGTGGATCGTTCACGATGCTCGAAGAGAACATCATGCGCCGTCCTGTCAAGGGACAAAGTAATGCAACGATGATCCTTCGTTTTATCTCTACCCGCCACTGATCAGGGAGCTTCTGCAGGATACGTGATACAGAAGGCGCCTCCCAAAGGAAACTCAGGGTTTGGTGAGCTTGCTACGTCAAATCCTGATGAAAGGGAGTACTTGTGACAGTCAACTCAGCTCTCAGGGTTGTGTGGATCTTGTCGACGCTTCTGCTGAGTTCGCTATGGTACATCAACCATCAGGTTGCTCCCTCCTTTCCCGATCCTTCACGTTCTTATGCCTGTATGGTGGGCAGCAATACCAACTGACCCACTGCCGGGTAATCAGCTGGAGGAGCAGAGCAGCTTGATGGAGCTCCATATATCTGACGTCTACGATCAGGAGGTGGCAGATGCGGTCGCCAAGAGGAACAAGCTACTGCAGACAGAGCTCAGCAGACACGAGGAATTGTCAAAGGAGCTCGGCACGATGAGAACAACCCCAGGTCCCTCGTGACCTGACTTGTGGTTGCTTCTCTGACCAGTGCACCGCAGCTCCTCCCATCGTTGACAGTAAGAAGGATACCATGGTCTGGAAGACCCCAGACATGCCTCGTAGGGTCGTGCACAGCGACGAGCAGTTGCGTCCTATCTGGAACTTCCTCAACAGCGGGTCGGAAGGAAAGAACCTGCTGGTGTTTGGGCTAGTACAAGACATGGACTTCTGGGTTCAATTCATGAACCCGAAAGGGAAGACGCTGTTCGTGACAGAGGAGTCGGAGACCCTGATGAGGGCGAGGAAGGATGTTGTGCACGTAGAGTACAAGACGATCGCCAGCCGGGACTTCGAGCGATACATGAAGAAGGAGACTTGGCCGGAGCTGCTGCTGGATCTCCCCAACGTGGTGAAGGATTCCCACTGGCATGCCATCGTCATCGATGCGCCCGACGGCTGCTGCTACGACAAGTCCATCCTTGAGATCCGAGGAGTGAGTGAGAGGAGGAGGAGCAGAGGGGGGCACTGAACATGAAAGCAACTGACGGCGGAGAGGAAGGAAGGGGAGGAAGGGGGAGGAGAAAGAAAATGGGAGCAGGGAAGTGGGCGGGCGATGTTGGGCTGAGGCATTCTACAGCCAGGTCGCTTTCAGTCCATCTTCACGGCTCGGCACCTAGCACAGCCTGGCACCTTCATCGCGCTGGATGACTGCGAGAGAGAATTAGAAGAGAAGCTCATGACGAACTTCCTTGGCGAAGAGCACTTGGTGAAGACGATCCCAGGCTCTCCCAACGCCCAGGTTGAGAACCTACCACATGCTCCCTCCCCTCCTCCTCACCTGCTGCCGAACCGCAGGGGCACCGATCGTCCATGTGCCACTTCATCATCGATGGTGATGCCAGCGGTGGCAAGAACTCTCCCTCATCCTCTCTTCCTCCCCCCCCTTCTCCTTTCATCGCCAACCAGCTGCCCGAGGTGAGGGGACAGCATGTGTTGCTACTTTCGACTGAGTGAAGCTGGACAGAGGTTGGGGGAGGCTCCTACCAGCGGCTCCAAGACTAATGACCAGACTATCACAGTGGGTAACACGTGTACCTTTGCAGCTTTGCGAGCTGTTGTGACTAGGGTGTGAGCAGGGGCAGCACCTGGGACAATAAGGCAGGAAACAAAGGATCAAGAGTCGGCGATGACGAAGCTAGAATCGGCATACGAAACGGAGAAGCGGCAGCAGCAGCTTCAGCAAGACAGACAGCAGCAGGAGGATCAGCTCAGACAGCAGGCCCAGAAGCAGCAAGACCAGCAGCAGCAGCTTCAGCAGCAGACATCAGGTCAACAGCAATCCATACATGATCCTGAGCCTCTGCAAATTCTACAGCTTCCCCAGCAGCAGCTGCACCAAGCTCAACAGCAGCAGAAGTTAAGCCTCCAGCAGCAGCAACTACAATTTGAAGCTCTTCAGAAGCGCATGCAGCAGCAAGCACTTCAGCAGCAGCAGCAGCGGATACAAGCAATACTACAGCAGCAGCAGCAGCAGCAGGCTCTTCAGCAGCAAGCCCAGCAGCAGCGGATACAAGCAATACTACAGCAGCAAGCCCAGCAGCTGCAAGCCCAGCAGCTGCAGCAAGGGCAGCAGCAGCAAGCCCAGCAGCAAGAGCAAGCCCAGCAGCAGCAGCAAGGCCAGCAGCAGCAAGCCCAGCAGCAGCAAGGCCAGCAGCAGCAAGCCCAGCAGCAGCAAGAGCAGCAGCAGCTGCAGCAGCAGCAAGCCCAGCAGCAGCTGCAGCAGCAGCAAGCCCAGCAGCAGCAAGCCCAGCAGCAGCAAGCCCAGCAGCAGCAAGAGCAAGGCCAGCAGCAAGCCCAGCAGCAGCAGCAGCAGCAGCAAGCCCAGCAGCAAGCCCAGCAGCAAGAGCAAGCCCAGCAGCAGCAAGCCCAGCAGCAGCAAGCCCAGCAGCAGCAGCAAGGGCAGCAGCAAGGGCAGCAGCAAGCCCAGCAGCAGCAAGCCCAGCAGCAGCAAGCCCAGCAGCAGCAGCAAGCCCAGCAGCAAGCCCAGCAAGCCCAGCAGCAGCAAGCCCAGCAGCAGCAAGGCCAGCAGCAGCAGCAAGCCCAGCAGCAGCAAGAGCGAGCCCAGCAGCAACAAGCCCAGCAGCAGCAAGCCCAGCAGCAGCAAGCCCAGCAGCAAGCCCAGCAGCAGCAGCAGCAGCAGCAAGCCCAGCAGCAGCAAGGCCAGCAGCAAGGCCAGCAGCAGCAGCAAGGCCAGCAGCAGCAGCAAGGCCAGCAGCAGCAGCAAGGCCAGCAGCAGCAAGCCCAGCAGCAGCAAGAGCAAGGCCAGCTGCAAGGCCAGCTACAAGGCCAGCTGCAAGGCCAGCTGCAAGGCCAGCTGCAGCAGCAAGCCCAGCAGCAGCAAGCCCAGCAGTAAGGCCAGCCAGGCCAGCAGCATGACACAGGACAACTGTACAAGGCATTGACTTGACAGATTGGGAGGAGGCACACCATATTCGCTGTTTGATGATAGTCCATCATGGAAGGTCAGACAGCAGGAGGAGCTCAGGACTTCTTTCCAGCTTATTCAAGGCACGTAAAGTACAGATTGGCCATTTGCGACAAACAACAAAGTCCTTCGCTCTACTGTTCCGCCGCAACTCGCTGCTTGATCTTTCCCTGGATCAGATTCCTGAGCGCTAGATTCGGCTGCCCCAACAGTAAGTATCTCCCCTTCTCCTCACCGCCCTCCAGATCTCACCTGCAGCTCTGTGTTCTTCATCTGAGCTCCTGCGCCGCTTGGTCAATTGCAGGCTGAAACCAGCGAGAGATCAGGCAAACCCGTTTTTGGAGACGTCCGATGCCCCTTGGCGAACCAGTCTTCTATGGCTGCCTTCTCATAGCTGAACCCGTCGGCGGCAAGCACGGGCTCCCTCATCACTTCCTGCTCATTCAGAATCAGCCTAACAACCATCCCCTAGCTCATGTTCATACCAGTGTAATAGAGCAGTAGAACTCGTCCGGGAAGTTGTCTTCGTTCCCTTCCTCACTGCCGTAGCTGTTCCTCCACGATCGCCTGAGATCTCAGTCAGACTCCCAGCTCATTCTCACCAGCCCATCTCAGTTACCTGTTGGCACTTGAGTTCGCCTGGCTTTCCATAGCTTCCTTCATCTTCTCAAGCTTCTCCCTGGCCAGCCGTCAGGGCGAGGACATGCACAGCCAGCTTGTGACGCACTCGAGGGCCTGCAGTTCCTTCTGGTGCTGCTCTTGCTGGCGATGAAGCTCCTGCTCTCTCTCCTTCAGCAGCCGTGCCTTCTCGCGGCTCTCCTCCTGTGCAAGGTGCTGGGCCAGCATTTTTGTCATTACACACTACAGTGACAACAGAGGCATCGGCTACCTGACGCTCTCTCAGCTCATCGAGAGCAGACAGCGCAGCAGCTTCTTGGAACTTTCTGATGATTTCCAACTCAGAAGAATGGGAGGGGAGTACATTCCTTACCGCTGCTCGGCCTCAATGCGTAACCTCTCCAATTCCTGACTTTGATCCTTTCCGATCTTGGCAGCTGCAAGCGTTTGGTCAGTCTTCGGGTTTCTGTCTTCAACCAACGGCTTGCCTTGCTTCAGCAGCGATTCCTGTTCACGGAGTCTTGCATCAGCTTCATCTCGTTGTTTCTTCACCTGACAACGCAATCAGTGAAAACGTGGAAAGTTTCGCAATCCGCTCACCCTCTGCACAACTCGCATCTGGTCTTCAAGTTCTGTCTTCCGCTTCATCTCTTCCTGTTGAGCTCTCTCTTGCTCCCTGCGACAGGATGATGAGCTGTTGCTAACAACGCGCGTCTGATCAACTTGATGCGCTGTTGTTCAATCTCCATCAGCTTCCACTGTTGCCTCGAAGCCAGCTCTAGAGCGTCCCTCCGCTCCTCACTGACCCTTCTGTAATGCCAAAGGCCATTGATTCCTGCAGCGACATGTCAGGTTCAGCTACGTGGCTCCTTCAGCATTCACCATCGCAGGTTCGTTCCACTCCCTTCACAGCACCGTCAAGTCCCCACTGGATCCAGTCTCCGGCTCTCTGCAAAATTTCAACAGGGAGCATCTGCTGTTTGGAAGATCCGATGGCATGATCCTGAGGCACTTCGTTCAGCAAAGGTTCCCACCATCTCCTCGCTGTCCTACCGTGGGTAGCAGCCCAGGGGAGGGAACGAATTCCCAATCCCCGTCGGCCTCAGACGAAATGTTGGACTGGAGGGAATGGCGAGGCTCCCTCTCTTCATCCGGCTTCAAAAACGCGTTCATGGTACAGAAATGAAGCAGCCGAGCACAAAGATGAGAAGCTTCAGCAGATCAGATAGGAACCACGATCGTGGTCACTGCCGACTGGCTTCGACGATACGATAAGGCTCGACGATTCAAAAAAAAACGGGTAAACTGTTGAGAGTTGTTCTTGTTGATAGTTCCTCTGGCTTCAGCAGCCTGAAGTGTATCAGCTCCTCAATTGCAGGCTACGTTCCATCAAGAACTTGCGTCAAGGCGCAATGGGCTAAGTCCGCGAGAAAAGCATCGCCCCAACCGCTCTCCCCAGGCTAATCCAGTACCCTGCTGTGCTTTCAGATGCAACTGTGATACAGGAAATATGACAGAAATAAAAACAATCGTCAAGGTTTTGAAGCAAAATCTAAAGGAAGGACAAAACACCGCGCTTCTTGCGATCGTGCCGACTACTTCGATCAATAACTGTACTTTGTTCTGATCAAGCGCGATGCAAACTTCAAGGGATTCGTAGCAAAGTGCAAATCGCATCATAATGTTTACGAATGGATGTGATACAGTGAGGTAGCACAGATCAGGGTGAGAACAAACACGCCATGGTTGAGTAGGTGATGATTGTACAAACATACCGTGCAATGTCTGACACTGGAGGGAGGGGGCAGGAGGCAACTAAACGAGCAGGCACATTGCATGGAAGAGGAAGCAGGGAAGCGAGAGGTAGGGAGGATCTAAATCAAAGATAGGAGGAGGGGAGAGAGCAGGAAGTGATGAGCAGCGGGAGCAGCGGGAGGCTGCATGGCGGTAGGGAGTTCGCCCCTGGACATTTGGTGAGCCCAAAAACTGTTTTTATAAATTACTTGTAAGTAATAAACTTTGAAAAATTATTCCTATAAAATTCAAAGTTGGATTGGATATTATAAAAGAAAAATGAATCTAGTTAAAATTTCGTGTTGTTGTACCATTGTCCCAAAATTCACTTTGTACTGCTACAACAATTTTAAAATATTGTAATATGTCCATATCCGTAATATCTTCTAATATAGTTTTATGATAGCCATTTTTTATATTTTGCGGTAGTACTTGATGGGGTTATGGTACAATGCTACAATGAGGGATTTCTGTGCATACCTGAGGTGGGCTCGCTTGTTGTTGCCTTCCCAGCTTCCACCCCTTCTGGGGACAGGTTCATCCCAGGGGGTGGGGTACAACCTGAGGCAGGCTTGTGATTCCCCCGACTGCAGGATGGCAGCGACGCTCCTGTCCCGGATGAGGAGGATGGGGCTGGTGGAGGAAGAGGGCGAGGGCGAGGGCGAGGACGGGAACAAGAACGAGGATGATGATCCTCTGTCTTCCCCACAAGCCGGAGATGATGAGACAGTTTGGGATGCTGTTTGGAGAGTCCCCGGGTTGCGGAAGCGGATAGGGGGGAAGAAACTGAAGCAAGTGGTGGAAGAAGTTTGGAGGAGGCTAAAGGACAACGAATCGCAATCTGAAGAGACTTTGGATGCTAACGACACGGAATTGATGACCCGTGGGGTTGCTACCTATCAGGGTATAACAGAAGTGATGGTGAAGAGGATAGAGCTATTGGTGCGGGTAATGCGGTTCCTGCCGTCTGTGCACATGCTATTTCCCCTCTCCTGTGTTTGTAGGAGCTGGTATGTGGCGTTTCTACGTGCAAGGAGCCTAGTGGGCGCCATGGACCTGACTTCGGCTCCCAAGATTGAAGACCTCGAGTTCCTGTGGCACATCAAGAAGTACGGAAAGGCGGTGAGGAGGGTGGACATCTCAGGCTGTAAGTACCTGTCGGACATTCCTCTGCTGGACCTCTGCGAGAAGAGTCGGGGGCTGGAGGAGCTGAGGGTCAGGGACTGCAGGAGACTCACCGATGTCGGAGTCTCCTCCATCCTCCGCAAGCACCGAGGCACACTGAGGGTGCTTGACGTGACTCGCTGCTACCTCGACGAGGGCGCGTTCTGGCACCTCTTCTCGGAGGAGGGAGGAGGGAAGGTGGAGGTCCTTCAGTGCGCATACTGCCCCTTGGGAGACCTGTTCGCGGGGTTCCTCGCGCAGATGCAGCGGCGGATCAAGTGCCTGAACCTGTGCGGCTGCAGGTAAGGAGGGAGGAGGGAAGCGGAGGAGGGGCAGGGGCAGGGGCAGGGGCAGGGGCAGGGGCAGGGGCAGGGGCAGGGGCAGGGGGCAGGCAGCTGACGGGTGGAGCCAGTAGGATCTCGGACTTCTCACTGTCAAGAATCATCGCTTCCTGTCCCCTCCTGTCAGAACTTCACCTGGAAGACACGCAGGCAGCCGAAGCCACTCTCCTCGCCATGGCCGGGGAGGGGCCCGGGGGCCCCGGGGCTGCCTCGCTCCGACTCGAGGAAAGCTACCGCTGCAGGATTACTCGCTCAGCTGATTGTTGTCTGTGCAACAGACTCTGGACATATCATGTTGTCAGTACGTCAACGATGCCTGTCTTGTCAGGTGAGTAGACTGAGCTGTTGTCGGGGACATACGCTGAGATGGCTGGGAAGGGCTCTGAGAGCGAACACGACGCTGACTGCACTGGCGATCAGCCAATGGTCGTCCTCGTCGTTTCCTCCTCCTCCTCCTCCTCCTCTCCCTCCTCTCCTATTCCCCATGACTCGACAGTCTCCATCTTTTCTTTGTCCACACACGTCCATCTATCTCGTGCTCACTTTCGCGCGTACCACTCACCTCCCTCCTCACCTTTTTGCTCACACCCTCTCCGCTGCCATCCATATCCCACCCTTGTCGCTCCACTTCTTTGCCTGAACCTTCACACAGCCGCTTGATATCTGATCAAGCGTTGATAGAAGCCAGCCAACACCTCCGGTCTGCCCCTGCCTGAGGAGGAGGCAGAGGACTGACGATGGTTCAGATCTCTGCAGACTCTGCTCATGGACACCTGCCCTGGTGCTGACTGCTGATTTTGCTGCCTCGGTCGTGTTGTGAGCTTGTGTTTGACATGCAGGAATCACTGATGCCGGCCTGTCTGCCATCGCCAAGTCCAACCCTTTGCTCAAAAAGCTGAGTGTGCAAGGTTATGATAGGCCGCTCCCTCCCTCCTCCCACTGCCTGCAGTTCTGTCTGTCTGCGCTCCTTCAGCCCTTTGCTTCCACCCTCCTCCTCGCCTCTCTTCCTTTTCCCTCCTTTTCCTTCCTCCCGCTCTCCTTTGCCAAGTCTCCTCCTCCTCCTCCTCCACTCTGCCCTCTTCCCTCTTCCCTCTTTTCTCTGACCTTTACATGTTCTTTATCCTCTCTTCATCCTCCCCTTTCTCCTCTTGCTCCCTCTTCCTATCATGGGAGTAACGTACAAGCAGGGAATACTGCCATAACAGACACGTCCGTCACTGCCGTCATCGATCACTGCAAGAAGCTACAGGTAGGAGGAGGAGGAGGAGGGAGGGAGGAGGAGATGGACTGAGAGCTTCACAGACTTTGGACCTGCGGGGTTGCTACGTGAGCGGAGGCCTTGTGAAAGAGATCGAATCGAGGATGAAGACGAGGAAGGAGAGTTAACAAGTAGTCTGTACATGTACTTTACACTGGTGAGCTTCATCAACGAGGAAGTTCAGGAGCAGGAGCAGGAGCAGGAGCAGGGGAGCGTAGACTTTCCCTCCAGCCATCATAGGAAGAACGGAAGATTCAAGTCCTGCTGTAGGAGCTCGCCCTCAGAGGGCCCCGTCCTTAACGTCGTCAGGTCACTTCCCGAGTCGAGGGCGTTGATGAGGAGAGGAGGGTGCAGCTCTCTGCTCCGCATCCCTCCTCTACCCTCCTTCTCCTCCTCCTCCCCACCTTCCCCCTCCTCCTCCTCCGTCACCTCATGCACGATCACCTTCCATCGATGGGCTTCCTGCCTCTCCTGTCCTCCCTCCACTTCCCCTCCTCCTCCCTCCTCCTTCTCCACCTCCGGGCCCCCATCCTCCTCCCCGTCCTGCTCCTGCTGGTACCTCCTTCCCGCAGTAGGCTGCCTGTCAAGGAAGCAGAGGCTGCTGGTCAACGAGGAGGGCAACAGGAAGTTCTCCCCGATGCGAACGGAGGAGGGGCGGGAGCTGACGCTCCTGACCTCCCAGTCATTCCCCTGGTTTGACACCGGGTCGTCCCAGCTGGGAATGACAAGGACGGTGTCATAGTCCTGCTGGGCCAGCTCCTGGTCCCGCCCCGAACCTAGAGCTGAGGTCCTAGCAGGGGTGGTAGGAGTGCGGAGATGGGAGGGGACCCGCATGCTCCTGCTGTCCCTCCACCCCTCCCTTCTCTTCCTCTCCTTCAGGCGGCGGTCGAGGCGGTTCCTCTCCTCCTGCGCAGCGAGGAGTTGCTGGTGGGCCAGGAACCGGGGCCTCTCGGTAGCATGCGCGTACATGCGGGACATCCTGGACTTCCAGTGCCACCTTCTCAGGGCCTTCTTGAGGTCCCGGGTCAGCAGGACGCTGCTTCCCACCCGTATCCTCCTGCTGTCGTAGTTGGTGCTGCCGACGGGGCCTCGGAGCAGGTCCATGAGGAACGCGATGAGGAGCTGGAGGATGACGAAGTTGGAGACGACGATGAAGACGACGAAGAGGGAAGCGGCAGAGCCGAGCTGCGAGCAGGTGCCCTGGCAGGGGATGCGATGGGAGGCGTCGTCGTAGCAGGTGATCAGGCCGCTGGCCTCGAGGCTCCTGGCCTCCTCCTGGAGAAGGCAGACAGGGAGCAGCTGCCTGATCTGTCCGAGGACGCTGTTCTTTTCCTGCTGGAGCGGCAGCTGGGAGAGGAGGAGAGTAGCGTTGAGGAAGGCGCCGGGTAGCCGCTTGCCGGCCTTGAGGTCGAAGAGATTCATCTTCTCCACCCAACCGTCCAGCGTCGCCATGACCGCCAGCATGGTCATGCCGGTGCTCTGCGCAGAGATAAGAGAGGAGAAGAGGGAGCAAGGAGGGAGCAAGGTGGAGCAGCAGGATGAGGTCCTGAGAATTGCTCGAGGTTGATGCGAAGATTGAGAGAGGGAGGAGAAGAAGAATTGGATGAGGTGAAAGAACGGGAGGTTCGGCTAGCACGAGGAGGAGGAGGAGCAGGAGGAGGAGCAGGAGGAGCAGGAGCAGGAGCAGGAGCAGGAGCAGGATCTCACCAAGTACTTGAAGTTCTGGTGGCGGGGCAGGAGGAGACTCTGATCCATCAGCTGGCAGCGCAGCGTATCGTCGCCCTGGATGCAGAGGTGGCCGTAGAGCTTGTTGCCGACGACGGAGGAGACGAAGAGGAAGACGAAGAAAATGAAGGCAAGGGAGGCGACGATTGGGATGGTTCTCCTCATGACGTTCACCACTGCAACCATCCACTGAAGGAGGCGAACGAGGCGAAAGCTCTTGAGGAGGCGGAGGAAGCGGGCAACGCGGATGAGGCGGAGGTTGCGGGTGAAGGTGAGGTCAAAGGAGGAGGCGAATCTCTGCTGGAAGTTGATAGCAGCGCCGAGGAAGAAGAGGAGGACAAGGAGGAAGTCGAAGCGGTTCCAGGGGCTTCTCATGTAGAGCTTCGGATGACCCGCGAAGATCCGAGCGATCGCCTCGGCGCTGAAGGTGAAGCCGAAGAAGAAGTCAGCTGAGAGCGAGACCCCAGCTTGTTGCCCAGCTGACTTGTAGCTGTCGAGAGACATGAAGACGACGTTGACTAGCACGAGGGAAGTCACCAGAACTTCGACCTCGAACCTTCTCAGCTGGTCGAAGAGCCACTGCCTCCTCCGGTCCTTGAGCTCCGCACCCACGTCCCACTCGGAGATGGCGGCGCGTTTCGGCTTCGCGGGGATGGGCCAGGGGGTCGAGAGGTTGACGCTGGCGTAGGTGTCGACGAGGACTGAAGGAGAGGTCAGCAAGAGAGGAAGGAACGAAGATGTGCAGAGGAGGAGGAGGAGGAGGAGAGGTTGAAAGGAGGAGATTTGTGTAGGACGAGAAGAAAAACGTGAGGAAAAGGAGGAGGAGAGGAGTAGGAGAGGAAGAGAGGAGCAGAGGAGGAGCAGAGGAGGAGCAGAGGAGGAGGAGCAGAGGAGGAGAATTGATCGAGTCCTCGGAACACCATGGGGAGTCACCTGCTGTGTAGACCTTGACGATGAAGATGAGGCCGAAGAAGTAGGTCAGGATGGAGTAGGAAGCAGCAGCAGGAAGATTGTCGTTCTGAATCATCCCGTGATAGGGATCAGCTCCTGCGTCAGCCTCCTTCCAGAAGAGCTCGTCTGCGTCAGTGTCAGAGCAGGAGGGTGGAGCGGCGAATCATCATTATCATCATCGTCGTCGTCATCATCATCATCATGACATCATCATCTCCATAATCTCCATAATCTCCATCATCTCCATCATCTCCATCTCCATCTCCATCTCCATCTCCATCTCCATCATCTCCACCATCGCCACGACAAGCTTCGAGCAGGCGCATCACCCCAAGCTCGTCCGGTGAGGAGGGAGAAAGACGAGAGCAGAGCAGATCCGATCCAGTCGAAGCTCAGCTTGTTGCTCCGCCATGTCGTGGTCCCCATCCCCTCGCACGCCTCCCTCAGCGTCACCCTCGGATCTGAGCAGCTCCACAGCCTGCCGGAGAAGAGCTGCATGCCCAGCAGGCTGAAGACGACGAGGATGACGAAGGAGATGACGGAGGAGACGAGGAGAGGAGGGATCGAGAGCTCTAGAGCATCGAGGCAGGTAGAGAGGGAGCGGGACTTGTAGCGGGGAGGCAGGAGGCGGTAGAAGTCGAGCATACGGAAGACGCGGAGGGTGCGAAAGGCAGGAAAGACTCGGTTGGTCCACCTCTCGTCTCGTTCCGCGAACCTCTCCTTGGTAGGAGAGAGGGCGGACCAGACGCCGCTGGTAAGGGCGATGGAGCTGAACTCGTCGGCGATGGAGGCGAGCGCGACAAGGAGCTCGAGGAAGTTGGCGGGGGAGCGGAGGTAGCGGATGCAGCCTCCAGCGATCCACTTCATGGCGAACTCCGCGATGAACACCCAGTTGAAGAAAGAGTTGAGGGAAGCGACGGCAACAAACTGCCGGAAGTCAGACGGGATGCCGAAGACGAGGAGGAAGACGCTGCTGACGACCACGATGACCATCAGCGCGGTGAAGTAGCGGTGGGAGACGACGAAGGTGCTCCCCCTTCTGATGAAGCTCTGCTCCACCAGACACAGGCATGTCGTCTCCGCCGCAGAGTCGTTGACCTTGCTGTATGCCCTCCTCCCGCTGCTCACGATCCTGCTCCTGACGTCTGACAGGCTGCGGACTTTGTCGTCCTGCGTCACCTGCTCCTCGAGCCTCTTGAACTCGCTCTGCTTCCTCGACTCCTCAGCCGAGAGCGACTGCCTCCTGCTCTGCTGCGCGGAGGTCGACGTGGTGTGCGCTGTCCTTGCCGCTGCTCTCTTCTTCAGCAGCTGCGCGGTGTTGCGCTGATCTCGGAACTCGACGATGACGGCTGGTGATGAGAAGAAGTTTCAGATGAGAGAAGGAGAGGAATGGCGCGATGGAAGGGAAAGGAGAGATTAGGAGAGCCAGGACAAGGAAGAGAGTGCAGAAGGAGGAGGAGAAGGAGAGGAGAGGAGAGGAGAGGAGAGGGAAACGCAGGGAGCAGAAGTGGTAAGGAGTGAGGGGAGGGAACCATCGAGCACCTGCGAAGAGGAAGTTTCCGATGAGGAGGTTGCCGAAGAGGATGAGGCTGTAGAAGTAAAAGTTAACCCCCCAGCCGAGCTGGGAGGCAGCTAGCTGCATTGTGGACTCCCAGTTGGACAGCGTCCAGAGGATGAAGACGCTGACTAGCGCGTTGGTGAACGAGTCAAAGTTCGCCCTCGGACTCACCCCCACGATCACCACCTCCTGCCCCCGCGCACCACCTGCATCCTCTACCGAGCAGGCCCTGTACGTCATGCTGGCTCTGCCAAGGGAGGAGGAGCTGATCCTTGTCTCCACCACGTACTGGCAGCTCCTCCTCGTCAGGTCGACCTCCCGTATCGTGCACGGATGCCCCGCAAACAACGAGCCAGCTGGGATAGGCATGGAGGGGACTCTGCAGTAGCATCGTGCACCCACCTGGAGCCTGTCGGGGGAGGGCGGGAGGGAGAGGATGCCGCCGAAGAGGGTCATGCCGAGGACGGAGTAGATGAAGATAAAGACTGATAGGACGACGATGAGCCCTCCCACCTTCCTGCCCACCAGGATGATGCTCCTCAGCTGCAGCTTCAGCGACGGGAAGTGGCGGATCAGCCGGGCGAGGCGGAGGATGCGGAGGAGGCGGAGGATGCGGAGGAACGAGAGGCCGACCTGGCCCTTGCGGCACTCCATGTAGTGAGCGGCGCGGAGGAGGCACCTTCCCTGCCTGATGAGCGGGAGGAACTCGAGGGCGGAGAGGGCGGTGACGAGGATGTCGACGATGTTCAGCACCTCGACTACCTTGACGTTCTTGACGGGGTCGTAGCGCAGGACGTACTCGCTGCGCAGCCCGACGGCCTTGATCGCAACCTCCAGGTAGAAGACGGAGGAGAAGGCGACCATGGTGAAGGAGATGCCTGCTTCGAACCGCATCCACTTGCTCTCCGAGGACCAGTAGTCCCCCAGGTTGCTCTCGTACTCGTGCTCGAGGCAGAGGACGAGCGTGTTGAGGATAGCGACCAACATCACTAGCCCGTTCAGGAAAGACGAGCAGGCCAGCGCTCGGAGCTTCTCGTCAAGCCACCCTCCTACCTGCCGCAGCTTCTTCCTGAAAAAGTGCTTCCTCTCCGACATGCGCAGCTTCAGCTGCTCGAGGTAGTAGTTGCTGATGTCGCTGCCCTGCAGCCGCTCCTTCACCTCGTCGGACTTGATGATTCTCTTCCTCAGCTCTTGCCTCAGCCTCCTCGTCACTATCGGCCTCCTGCCCATGATCCTGTCAGCGAGCCGAGCGATCCCTCCCTCCCCTCCCCTCCATCCCCTCCCTTCCCTCCCTCGCTCGCTCCCCTCACTCCCTCCCTCCCCTCCCTCCCCTCCCCTCACATCCCTAGGTAGAGACAGGCATGGAGCCTCCCCTCCCTCGCTCCCTCCCTCCCCTCCCTCACTCCCTCCCATCCCTCCCTCCCGTCCCTCCCCTCCCTCGCTCCCTCACTCCTTACCCGATCACGTCGAACTGCACGAGTCCTCCTCCCTTCTCTCTCGACTTCTCGATCTCCTCCTCCAGCAGCTTCTGCACGCGCCTGTGCATGACGAGCACGGCGTACTTCCAGGCCTGCCAGGGGTTTCTGCGGTACTTCCTCTCGAAGCGGGAGGAGGTGTAGAAGAGAAACTGCTGCCCTCGGTCTCCTCGCAAGACTCGGCGGAAGAACGCCTCCTGGTGCCATGTGCTGATGGCGTCTTCGATCCGATGCAGGTAAGTCCTCTTGAACAAGCGGAAGAGGAGGAAGTTTGTCCGCAGAATCTTACGCAGCTCGCAGCGCTCCTGATAGGAGCTATCGTCAGGAGGGAGGGAGGGAGGGAGGGAGGGAGGGAGGGAAGAGGAGGAGGAGGAGGAGGAGGAGGAGGTTATTGGAATGGAAACGTTGCTCAAGAAAGAAGTCGATCAAGTGCGTTCAGGTCAGCGAAGGGAAAAGAACAAGCTGCGAGTAGGTAGAGAGGAGAAGGAAAGGGAGGCATGCAAAGAGCGGAGGGCATGCAGAGGATTGAAGGAGAGGGAGGAGGCGGGGGGAGGAAGCACCTGGAAAGTCTCCAACATGACGTGCAGGAAAGCGTTGGTCCATCGCCGGTAGATGGCTTTCTCCCTGCGCAGGAACTCCGTCCTCCTCTGCTGGACCAGCCTGGCGCTGATGTAGGCGAGGCAGAAGGAGAGAACTTGGAGGGGGCCGATGACGAGGTGGCCAAGGAAGTAGAGGGAACTCATGGGGGAGATTGCGTCTTGAATGTCAAACATGACGTTGGACCATCCCGACATGGTGAAAACCTGAGTGAAGGGGGTCAGGAGGAGGAGTAACGAGGGGAAGGGAGCAGGAGAGCAGGAGAGCAGGAGAGCAGGAGAGCAGGAGAGCACGGGGGAGGGGGGAGCAAGAAGCAGGAGGGAGAGGACGAGGCTGTTGTTCACCTGAACCAGGACGGAGAAAGCATACCTGCAAAGCAACTGAAAGTCACTCGAAGACAAGCGGAGGAGTGTGAACAGAACAGATCTTAGAGCAAGGAGAGGGAATGGCAGGAAGGAGGCTGGAAGGTAGAGAGATGGTGGACAGGGGCCATGGGAGGGAGCAAGAGCAGCGTCATCAACGTCAAGACTACCCCGCGTTGTCGAAGTTGTCAAACCCGCTTCCCGGGTTGGCAAAAAGCTGCAGGCAGTGGAAACCCTCGGGGCAGAAGTAAGGGTTGCCGATGAAGGGGAAGTTTGTGCTGTTCTGCCCCAGCTGCAGGAAGCACACTTGCTGCGAGCCCAGCAGGCGCCCGTCAGACGTCGAGTAGCAGCGCGAACGGAGCAGCCCCTTGAAGAAGAGGACTCCTATGATGGACCCTGGACAGAGTTGTCAGCCCTTGGCCCAGCACCCGCCCAGCTGTCGGGTCTCCCCAGCCTCACCTATGAAGAGGCAGAGGAGGCAGATGAAGAGGGCGGCGAGCAGGACGGGAACGGCGCGCACGAGGATGGAGAGGAGCTCCTTGAGGGACTGGGACCTGCTGAGGATGCGGAGGGGGCGGACAGCTCGGATGCTCCTGAGGGCGGTAAGGTTGCTGGAGGAGGCGCTTAGGATGTCGACGAGGCTTGTCAAGACGATGCCAAAGTCAACGACGTTCTCGGACTGGCGGAGGTAGGACGTTGACCCAACAATGAAGCCGTAGGCGATGATGTTCATGCTCGCTTCCAGGATGAAGAAGATGTTGAAGACAAAGGACGCGACCTCCATGTTCGCCCGGGTGGCAGAAACCTGCGAGCAGCGCAGGGCTCGTCAGAAAAGAGCGAGAAGAGAAGAGAATGAGTTGACATCATAACGACTGACTGACTGACTGACTGACTGACTGACTGACTGACTGACTGACTGACTGACTGGCTGGCTGGCTGGCTGACTAGCTGGCTGGCTGGCTGGCTGGCTGGCTGGCTGGCTGGCTGGCTGGCTGACTAACTCACAGGGATCAGGTCGGGGTTGTCGAGGGGATCCCCAGCAGCGAGCAAGGCGACGTTGGCCAAGACCACCACAGGCACTAGTGCGAGCCAGAAGCGAGAGCGGATGAGATGGAGACAGAGGAGGCGGACTGGGTTCCGCTTGCTGAAGAGAAACAGGGACCTCTCCTCCAGATCTTGAAAGTTCCTGTCCGCTGCCAGGAACCAGAAGCCCCAGTCACAGTACTGAGACAAGGGGATCGGTCGGATCTCCAACCACTCCTTCTGCATGGCTCGTTCAGACATCCATCTGAGAGTCTGAGACCTCAGGTCTTCCTCCCTCCTAACAAGGGTCCTCCGTCCTTCCTCCTCATCCTGAAGTACCTCCATCATCGCCTCCTCTTCCAGCGTCTCCCCGTCGTCCCCCGCGTCTTGTCCCTTCCCTTCATGTCCTGCTCCTTCTCCAACAATCGGCTCCGACTCCGCAGGCAACGCATGCAAATCTCCCAGCTCGATATCGTCTTGCTCCTCCTCCTCCTCCTCCTTCCCTTCGATTTCAAAGTTCCCCACGAGGCCTAGCTCGTTCGTAGAGAGCAAACGGGTCTTGGATATGATCTCGTGTGGATTGTTGTACATCGTCCGAGACTTCGTCGCCCACTGCCTCCTCCCGACATGCTCCAAGTGCTGCAGCGTCGTGAAGTCTACCTGAGAAGCACTGCTCTTGAAGTAATCCTCCAGCTCTTCGGCCAGCAGCAGCTTTCTTGGCAGGAGCGACGGTTCCAGCTCAGAGCGGTCCTCCAGGACATCTTCGGCAGGCTTCGACTCGTCCTTTGGCTCGTACGCTCCTTCAAACGCGACGAGGAACTGACGCTTTTCCGACTCGCTCTGGAATTTCACGAGAATGTTCCCGAACTTGCTTGCGGTCGCAACATCAACATGCAGATCATCGCTGTCGTGCACATACGTGACATCTCGCAAGCTCAATCTCAACATCCTCGAAGACATGTCCTGCTGCGCTCTATCGCCTGTGAGCTGATTCTTCTGCCTCCTTCTCGCCGCAGCGGAAAGTTTCTCCTTGGGGAAGTTGATACCCATGATCTTACTCAGCAACATCTTGTCGTTGAGCTGAGAGAAGGGGCTCCCGATCTGATTTCTGAACCTCATGATGACCTGTGACAAATCTCGCGAGGGACAAACATCTTCTTCTAGTATCAGCGTGATCCTACTCGCGTCAGAGCTGATGTCCTTCAAGCGGATCTTGTCGCGTTCCCCCCGGATCTCAGCACAGAATTCTGAAATGAAGAAATTCGCCAAATCTTTCAGTTTCATCTTGTCGTTGACGACTGGCGTCAGCAAGACAAACTCGAGAACAGTCCTGCGGATCTCCTGGAAATCTGTCTTTTTCCGTGGGAAGAGCACTAGAAAGCTCTCTCCGCCATGGATCGCGGGCTCGCTGAGAGTAAGAATCATCGGGTTGTTGTCATACGTGCTCCGCTCGGAATCGCTGATCCAAACAGCGTATGCTCTCTTGGATGCCTCCCTTTCAAAATGTCGAGAGAGACGAAGACGGTCCTTGTCGAACCTTGACAGGTCCAGCCCATGGCCACCCCCTGCTAGTAGGGATGGTACCACGTCCGGTCCAGCCACCCCCGCCAGAGATTGAACTGATCGCACACTGGAACTATCATCTCCCACCATGTCCTCGTCATGGGTGGATACCCTAAAGCTCTCCCCTCCTCTATCCTTCTTCCTTCTCCTCCTCCTCCTCCTCTTCTCCATCCATGTCACTTGCCCGGACATGGCAGGAGGGTCCCAGTGATTTGACCCGCCTGTCAAAAACTTGACTCGGATGCGGGCAGTGCAGCCGTCCGAGAACGGTGAGAGTCTCAGGCCCGCCAGTCACCGAGAGGCGGCCGGGCCGGCCGGGCACCGGCGTGCCGCGGCGTCGGCGTCCCGGTGATCGGCGGCGGCCCGGGGCCGCTCGGCCCTCACTGAGTCCGGGGGGGGCCAACTTGGCCGTCCTGGCACGGCCCGTGTCCGGGACCCCCGGGCCCGGAATTCTCACTGACTCTGTGAGTCTGACTCAGACTGAGTCGCTGGGCCCGGCCGGGCAGACCGTCGCAGTGAGGCTCAGCGCCGGGCTGCGGCATGCGGCGGGTCACTGTCCGACGCCCCGGCTGACTCATCGGGGCCCTGAGTCCCACGCCCCGGCTCGGATGACCGGCCGCCGTCAATCACGGCGTGAAGCTGCAACTCATGTGACCACCATGAGCTGAATGATGAGTCATGGTCAGGTCACAAGTCGGCTGTCCGACCATCGGACCGACCGTCCTGACTCAGTGACTGACTCTGCTGTCACTCGGGGCTCCTAAAGAGTGTGAATAGTCCTTACCTCCTAGCAACCATCGTAGGGTAGGGTACTTGGTGTACGGGTGATTTACAGCTAAAAATGGTCTGAAAAAGGGGGAAGTAGCAGGTTCGGGGTGGGTGGGTTGCTCCGAAAGGGGGTGGCGTGCCGTTGGCGTTGTAAACCTCGTCAAAAATGGGAGAGGAGGGGCAGGGAGAGGGAGCGATGCAGCAGCCCGGCAGGGGATCATGGGAGCCATTTGAGCTGATGACGGAAGACAATGACTGTGTAAGAATAGTTGCTTCAGAGGAAAGCTTTCCTCTGCAGCTGTTGCCTCCCCTAGACAACCACGAGGAGTTTTTGTTGGACAGGCTTGCGAATACAGGGAGGGATTCGGTGAGGAGAAGTACAGAGAGCATCGCGGGCTCGGAGAACATTTTCGATTTCGATGAAGCCATGTACGAGGTTGACTTTGTCAAGATCGCCCCAAGAAGCCCGGCTGGCTTCGACAAGAACCAGCATCTGCGCCTGAAGGTTGTTACGAACAGAGCGGACGTTCCTGTTTTCAAGTTGGACAAACTCCCTGACAGACATCACTCCACGACATCATCCCTAGATGTTTCCACCAGACGACTGGAAGGAAGCTTTTGCAGTTTCTGCAGTGACGCTGAACCTGGCTGCATTCAGGACGCAGTGGACAACGAAGGGTCGGTTCGCACCCGAGCCATCGAGGAGTATTTGTCAACCTGTTACTCAATGAGGACAGCTCCCATCACAAAGTTAGTGCAAAACTTGAGCTCCCTCCACAGGATCGATTTGAAAAGTCGGGGGATGGGGAACCGTGGGTGCGTCGCTCTCGCCTCCTTCGTGCGGGCCAACACAAGCCTGGAGGTGCTGCACCTGGAGGACAACAACATCGGGTTGGAAGGCTTGACTGCCATGTCCAAGGCGATTGCGCAATCGAAGAGTGTCAGAGAGCTATACTTGAGCTCCAACAACCTTGGAGAAGCCGTTCAGCATCTGTCCTGCTGCCTGACTTCGAAGGAGTGCTGCATCGAGGTGCTAGATTTGAGTGAGTGCAAGCTGGAGGACAAGGGAGCTCAACTTCTTTCTTCGTGTCTGTCGGGCAATGAGACTGTGAGAGTTCTAGGGTTGAGATCGAATGCCATCAGCGACCATGCAGCTTCCGGCCTGTTCGAAGCGCTGGCAACCATCATTTCGCTCGAGGAGCTCGACCTTACGTGGAACAGCCTCCGCAATGGTGATGCGCTGGTGAAGTTGCTGCAGAGCAGCAAGTCTATAAAAGCTATTCGTCTTGCCTGGAACAGATTCGGTTCAGCAGGAGCGAAGGCTCTAGCTCTTGCTCTGCGTGCAGGGTGCAGCGTTACGAAACTCGATCTGTCTAAGAACGATGTAGGGCTTGACGCTTGTGAGTTCTTCGCACGGACGCTGTCCATGAACACAAGCCTTCTGGACTTGAACCTTAACGGCAATCCCATTGGTATGGAAGGCGTCCTACTCCTGCTCAGTGGAATTATGCCGGAATCGCCGCTCCGATCGATCTACTTCGCAGATTGTGGCGTTGGAAGCAAGGGAAAGATAGCGATTCGCGCCTTAGAAACCGGGGGAGGGAATGTCGATGAACTACGAAAGCTGTGCCCCGAGCTGCTGGGAACGCTTAAGCCCCTCGTTGTGAAGAAACCAGCCAAGAAAGCAAGCGATCCATTCAGACAGAAAGAGTGGGTGTCGACGAAACCTCTGGCTGTGGCGTACGTTCGGTGAACTCAGCGTGAGTTCAAGAATTGCTTGACGAATTGCTGTGTACATGTTGCATGCCAAATTAGTTGCTGGAAAATATGACGTGATAGACTTTGGACGGTGAGATGATCTCTTCTTTAACACACTACACAAGTACACTTTTCGCTTTTTATTCCTAAAGTTGAAATATTTCATGATTTAAGAACGAGGCTTCTCCTTCTTCTCCTTGAACAACGCAAGAAGTGCAACACCAGACACCTTCACAATCTTGAAACGAACACCGGGAATATCTCCCTTAGCGTGTCCACTGCGACCGAACCCGGCAACGAGAACCTCGTCGTTCTCGTCGATGAAGTTCAAGCAACCATCGTTGGGAACGAAGGCGGCAATCTTCTTACCGTTCTTGATGAGCTGCACACGAACGCACTTACGAACGGCAGAGTTAGGCTGCTTGGACTCGATACCACTGCAAACAGAGTCAGACAAGAGCAACTCAGAAGTCAATCGCATCTCACATCTTCTCGAGAACGATTCCCTTCGCGTGGGAGCATCCGGCAAAGGGCTTGGCCCATTCCTTGCCCAAATGTGCGCGTTTGTATCCCTTGTCCGCCCAGTTGTTGATACGGCGCACGAGGCGCAACTTACGACCAGTGCGAAGACCGTGGGGCTTACCTGCCTGCATGTCAGTGATACTACGAGCGAGCAAACACAAGCACAAAGACGAAGCACAACCAGGTAGGGATAGGTGGGGATAGGTGAGTCAAACCGAGAACATCAACCGCAAAAAAATGAAACCACCCAGAACATTCTTCTACTGCAACATAGTGGAACACAGATGAAATAAATGAATGCAGACAAGCAACACGTGCAGTGAAGATTTGTTCCATTTCTTAAACATTCCCGCACACCCTTTGATCCTGCAACAGAGACAATGCTTGCGTTCTAGTATCGGGACATCGCATTCTCCAACCAGGTAAAATTCAGAGCAAGCTACACATGATAAAACCACTTTCGTCCTGGAACGTGGTTCGGCCAGTCACTGGCAAGACAGATGGCTTTGAGAGCCTCGACGATGTCGCATTACATGTGAACAAGGCAACAAGACATCGTTTAGGCGATCAAAGATGACAGCTACATGTGCATTTGATAGCGTTGTAGGATTGATAATGAAAGAAGACCATATCGCAGTGAATAAGGCATTGAAAGATCAACTGCAGCACAAGAAAATCCAAGGCAAACATTTCCCATGCATGGCGCAGCTGGAACGTCTGTCCTCACGGAGAAGGGGTGCGAGGAGAGAAACGAAGCAGAACAGAGGACAGAGAGCACGAGAGGGACATGGATCAGGGAGAAGGAGGGAGGGAGCAGGGGGAGCATGCCGCAGGCAGCATATTCATCGAGCACGCGGCGTCTCACCCATCGCGAGTGACTTGCAATCGCACGAGCGGCTTTTTTTAGAAAGCGAGGTTTGATCGAAACCGATTGAAATCGGCTAATTCGATTTAATTCCTCGCTTTCTCGGTTTTGACCGAATTGAATCGAATTTTCGTCAAAGAGGGGGTAGGGGTACTCCTGTACCTGGTCATTTTTGGTGAAGTTAGGGGAAAGTTAGGGGGTCAAGTTGACAGATTCAAAACCTGCTCCTAGAAGGGGAAGATCACATCCATTGAGGGGGTGGGGTAGGCACATTTCATGTGAGCAGGGGTTCTTTGGTTACACAACCCATGGATATGACAGGGGTAGTCATGTGTAGATCCGACAGGTAGGGTAGGTAGTATGATAGTCGGGGGTTGGGCCAGGGTTGGCCGCATGGCAACAGCGGTGAGTGGATGGAGGGACGATGGAGGAGAGGGACGGAGGCGAGGAGGAGGACGAGAGTCAAGTGAGATTGATAGATCGACTACTGGCTAGTCAGTGAGTCAGTCGCTCAGAAGCAGACATGAACAACCTTGCAGCCAGGTCTGCAGAGGTAGACGGGCAGGTAGCAGAGAACCTACGAGCCAGAGTCTTTGGGAAGACAGGGGGGACCTGTCAGGTATAGATAGATATTCAGAACGATCGATGCAGATGAGCAGAGTTTTGAACGAAAGCTGATGACTGATGCATGTTCCTGATGCAGATTCCGGCGAAGCGGTCCCCCTCGACTGACCTCTCTGTCGAGAGGAAGATTCTGAAATTGAACTCGACAGCGAGCGCAGCGGTTTGATGTTTGTGGATCGCGCGTTGTCTGACGAGATCCTAGGTACAGCCTCGTTCTGGTGTTGTGAAGTTGACGTCGAGCGCTGTCTCAACGACCGGGGTGGACTTGTCGGCTGAAGGTGAGATGCGATTTGAGCGCATTTGGTGTTGAATCGGGTTGGAACCGCCAGCATTGGACGATAGAGATCAGCGATTCTCGAGCGACAATGGCGGGAAGCGCTTGGTCTCGTTGAAGGGTGCGGGTAGCGCTCCTTCATCCTCGTACTCCCCGAGTTCTGACCCTGAGACCAGGGGGTGCGTACAACGCACCGAAGCTACAGCTCGGCACAGGAGGAGCAAAGGCCGGTAATGAACATTCAAGAAGTCTCGACCAGGTGATGTTGTTGTTCCAGGCTCAATCAAAGGAACCTCCAAAGAGCTCGAGCGGTGAGCCTAGTTTCGTCATCCCATCTTGTACTTATTGCACCAAGGCCGTACCTGCGACTCCACTTCGTCCCCGACCCCAGCACGATTCGTCCCCAGCACATCTTGGTGGAAGCGCTGAAGTGCGTCTGATTCGATTCGGGTCGTGTGGTGGTTTGACGACCTCCATAGATTGGTGAAGAAAAAGTGGATTGAAAACCAGGTGCGGGTCACTCGGAATTTTTCAGGTGGAGAATGAAAATAACAAGCTGTCTCGCAGGATTTTCCACATGCGACAGAACAGCTCATGGCAATCCAACAAGTACAATGCACCAGAGTGTTGGCCAAGATCTTATTTCTGTGCTCTAGGATTGCAAACTACAAGGAATTGAGGGGACGATAGCTTGTGATGCTTATGGTATGTTTTGTCCACCTACGGATAGTGCGCTGCATTTCACTTCCTGTTCTCTTCAGAAACACACATTCGTATTGCTCTTGAAAGAGCCGATCTCGGTGAAATGACTCCTGAACCCAAAAACTTCATCAGGCGCTGACCGTAGTGCAGCGGAGTTCACAAGATGCCTGTCATCACTATCATCATTGTACCATAGTGCTATCTTGCATGGTGAATTCGATGGTGCTAGCAGAGCGACATCTCATCAACCGTTTGTATGTTCAGGCGAGACTTGGAGTCCTTTCACGAACGAGTTCATTGCATATCGGTGAGATCAACAATAATGTGATCTGCGGGAGCGAGCACTTATGGCGATGGGACAGGATGCTACATGGAATGAGATTAGAAAAAGACCTCCTTGAAAACATCTCTTGTGAATTATGTAGAATTTCTCCTGAACAAAGGTAGGTCTTGTTCTTTAAGGCATTCTGTATGCTTACTTGCTCGATCAGGTCGGACTCAGACATCCATTTTGCCATCTCAGTAGGGAAGTCGCTAATGGCTAGGTTGCCCTGGATCCTACATTTCTACTTCCCTGCTGAATGCTCGACAGAGATTTTTCTACTTTTTTCCGTCTGTATGCAAATGCTCCCAAGATGGCTGGGCATGTGATCGATTTTTTCGTTGTGAGTTTTTCACTTTCCTTTGTGCTTTAACTTGCTCGACATGACGATGCTTGACCTCAGGACCGAGTCCGGGAAACGGCCTTGCAGACTTATATCAAGGCATGCCAGGTGTCGCACGGATGAGTTAATGTGTGAAATCTCACCCTTAGCAGCCCGACATACATCTTGACGACCTGAAGCACATGTTGTGCTTCGAGAAGGTACTTGCCAATTTAACTCTAGTGAGAGAGTATGTCGGCAGCTCATACCTGATGTGACAGCGTAAACAATGCTTTCGCTTCCTGAGAGAGAGGGGGGTGGTTATGTCCGACGATAAGAGGCTTGTACTCACCAAGGTTAGCCGCCTTCTGTGGAGCTGTGTTGCTTTTTGAACGTACAATCAGGATTCGTTGAAGAGCTTCAAGGTTTCGTAATCATTGATTAAAAATTTAACACACGCGTATTTGTTGATCTCACGATGCATTCTTTTCAAGTTTACCAAGTACTTTAAAGAAAGTTTTGCGAACACGACGACATGTCACGTAAGTGGCCAATTCAAACAATTCTTCCTCCGAAAACGTTTCCACAGCAACGATTCGAGTAATCACCACCCCTCGATCCGGGCAATAAATATACAATGACGGCGATCAGCCTTGTAACCCAGCAGAATCTGACAAGCAACACCAGCCAGCGAGCAAAGTCTGCATCTCAGAGAGCACGAGAGGCCTTTCAGACCTCACCGTGCGCTGATAGCTGAGACCTCTACATGCTTCGCATGGGTGTAGTGTACCCTAACCCTTGAACGGGAGGGTCGTAGGTCGCTCTTGTCCACTTGCCCGCCTCCACGTTGTCGGGATCTAAACCATCATCCCTGCGTTGATATGTCAGAATAGGAGGCAGCATGCAGCATGAAATCTTACCCCCTCCAAGCACGTGAAAATGATCCTGCAGGAAGCAAGTTGTATCCTATCAGAACGATGCCTCCAATGAGCACCATCAACACTGCCGACCAGAGAAGCACTGTTGAGAGTGTTCCATCGTCCTCCTCGCCCTTGTCTGACGTTAATTGATCGAACATGCGGTCAATGGGCGGCTCTGAGTTTGCTCCTAAGCCTCCAGCAACGGTTTCAACGTAAACCCCATCCCCCAAGCCATTCGTTCGCAACGTCTTGCCTGCAAAATGAAGTTAATCCTTGACCCATGGTAGTCGCGAGACTCACCGAACAAGAGGTTTGCGGTGATGGGCTTTCCAGGTGTCCCTGTCTCATGATCGCTCATACCAGCTGCATCTTGCATTCCTGCTGGCCCGATGACTGGGTACCTGACATGGTAGCGTCAGCCAAGGTTGGATGCCCCGTTTTCAAGTGAGGATTTGTACAGGAGCACAGGAACTCGTTGCTCAAGGGGCAGGAAGTAAAGTAACACCAATCCACTCAAGATCAGACAGCAGGCAGCATGCACTGGTACAATCCAACTCACATCGACATTTGCACCATGTTCACAGGTACAATGGTGTCCTGCTTCTGGAGTCGCGCGGAGGTGTGAGAGCCGTAGTCCGCGGGGTAGTCACCAAACTGAAGGACATCCAAGTCTTGTCCTCCATGTGTAGGGGGGTACCTGACATCAGCATAAGTGTCCACATACATGCAGATTAAGATCTCTCACAGAGGTCCTGGCGCGTTCTCTACTTCCGCGTACTCATCGTCACCGTGCGCGAACTTGGCTTCCTTCTGCGAGGCAGCGGCAGATGCCTTCTCCTCAGCTTCCTCAATCGCCTCTTTCTCATCACTAGACAGGACAAGAATGGATTAGCGGCAGGTGGTATCACACTTGCTCCTTGCAAGGCACCTTTCGTGCTCAGCAAGGCTTTGCAGCTTGATGGATTTTTGGGCAGCAGATGGGCTCAAACCTACGTTTCATCACATTGCATCAATACAACGAACACAGACGAGCACAAGTCTCATCTTACCCTGCGTTGCCATCTCCCTCAGCTGCTCCGCAGTGTAAACAGGCTCGCTGGGCGCGGGCGCAGTAAATGGACGCAGAATTCCGAGAGGCGGTTCCTGTAGACGGTGTCAAGGCAATGAGACTCCGTCTTGAGAGAATGTGGAGATGCTTTATGGACGCTTTGTGCTTTTTGTCTCTCACCTGTCCAACCATCCAGACAGGTCTCTCCGTCATGACCACCGCAGTGCAAACCAAGACGAGAGCTGCCACTGCCAGCGCTCCGAAGAACTGTCGAGGGACCAAACGTCAGACATTAGTGGTCGAGATCGAATCATATGGACAACATTCAAACACGAAGAAAAAAATGAAATCAGTGGAACAGAACTGGTGTACACAAGCAACGTGGAGGATTCCCGAATATGATGACTGCAAGTAAAGCAAAACATCGAGTTCGTGTAGCACAGGACACAGGTTGGACAACATGATTTAGAATTTGACAGGGAAATCATAAGGGATAAATGATTGCCGGCAAAGACAAGCAATTCTGTGACGCTCAAAGCCCAAAGTGACGGTGTGCGACCCAAACACACGACAAGAGCTTGACACAGCAGTGATTTCATGAATTACATCTGAGGAGAAGAAGAGATAGACAACAAGGGGAGCATGATCAGGAGAGATCAAACTGATGAGAAGCAGGAAAGAGAGCATTGACATGATGGCGCCTCCTGCATACCTGGTTCTGCGATGGCGGGTTCATCGGCGTCGCCGCCATCCTCCCGCGCCTCTTCGCAAGTAACGGATGTAACCTCCACACCTCTCTGCCACCCCCATGTGACAAACCAGTGCCCACCACATAATGACAGTACCCCTTCTGTATTTTAAGGAGGGGGTATTTTACCTGGATTATACAGGGTAGCACGGTCATAGTGTAAATACCCCTACCACAGAAATATCACACCCACCCACCTCTCTTACAATCACACTCGATGGGATGACCCTGGGCACTTGAGTACCCCTTCTTCCTCGTTCTTCTACCCACCCCTAATAAATACTCCCAACAATACCCGTAGTACACAATGGGAATGAGGACCCCTTCTACCACCACCCTCTCGATTCCTCAAAGACCCTACCCCTCACCTTAGACGAATCATTATACTCACCCCCATCGATGACCAACAAGTACCCTACCATATGCTTACATGGTGCTGTATTGGGGTCATAGGACCTACCCCAGCATAGTATCACCCCCATAGCGAACCGGAAACCACCAACCCCCTTCAGGTCGAGCGCAATGGCGGACTTGGACAGCCTGCTGAGGGACCTGGAGATCGACGTCTCCTCCCCTCCTCCCTCTCGTGCTCCTCCAAGCCAAGCCAAGCCTGTCTCTTCCTCCTATGACCCTGACCCACTCTCTCCAGACCTCTCCTCGGGCCGATCCTTTCTGTCCGACCTGTCGCATTCGGTTTCAAATGGAGTTCAGGAACCCTCGTCTCGCTCGAGGAACGCTTCGGCTTCAACTTCTCAGCCCACAAAGTCTGGGATAGACGAGCTACTTGATGACCTGGAGAGAGATCTTGACCTGGGAGGGGGCTCAAAGGCTGTTGCTGCTGAGCAGCAGGCGGCTACGTCAACGAATTCCAACGAGTCCAACCAGTCGGATCCGTCACAAACATCCGCAGGCGGAACGAGGAAGTGTGTTGCGATTTACTTGGGAGGTAGTAAGGATGAGACTGGCTCCTCCCCGGGGAGGGCGTGCGACAGATTACGATGCACCAAGTGCGATTTCGATGTCCTGCGCATCAAGGATATGACGTGGCACAGCGACTGCGAGTATCTCTTCTTTCGAAACTTCTACCCAGATGTCGACAAGCTCAAGCAGAAGCTCAAGGCAAGATCAGGTGCTGCCATCCTTCTTTGCTGTGCTCCATCACATCACTGACGAGCAACCAATCAGGTTTTTGCGCTTACGCTTGCCAGTGCACCTGGAGGAGTGCGAGCGAGTTGACGTTGTTGGAGCGCAACGCTGATATGCGGTGGGTCTGTCGTGGGCACAGCAACTGAATGATCATCGTCGACATCAGTGATCATTTCTCCCAAGTTCTTTTTTTCCCGCTCTCACGCAGGACATGGCGTGGGTCCGTTTTCGTTCCCTCAAGCCCATAGAAAACCCCAATCCCGAGATTCAAAACGCTCAAGCATGATGATCCGCTCTTCTATTCAATCCATATTACATTACAACGAGGTGATCTACCATGAAAGCAGAGATTCCTGGCACTCTAGTGCAAAGGAGACAGCCGCGAAACCATATGGAGCAAGTTCTCAAGGCCGAACATCACAGGTAGTTGGGACGAAGCCTGGTAGATGTGCCTCTATACCATCCATGTGAGCCTGATAGTCAAATGTTTACACTCAAGCGTGAGAATGGAAGCTCTCATACCATTCCAACCACAGCGACTGTCGTCCTGCCATTCGCTTTCAAGAGTGAGTTGGCCATGTACTGGTCTCTTTCTCCTATGAGAGCCGTGTACACTTCAGGCAAGTTCTCTTTCAAAGTCTGCACTGATTGTCATCATAAGAGATCCTCAATACTCCTCTGACCTGCATGATGCCCCGTACAGTCCTCCTTTCCTTCAACATCTGGCCGGGAGTGAAGTCAGATTGCAGCGAGCTCGATCCAGCATGTAGAAATTCAGTGTCTCTTACCTCAATAGTATTTGCAATGGCAGCATTGTCACCCTTGTCACCCTTGTCCTAACACATAGATTGAGTTGGAAACCATCGAACACGACAAGCAATGTTACAAATTCGGATTCCATCGTCTTGCTCAACGCAGAGGCTTCAGGAAGCAAAGATTGCGAACTGGAACTTCTTTCAGACCATGCAGTCTCCGGCATAACAAATGGTACGACCTGGCAAACGCCTGCACCTGGCTCCACCCCGTCTTGTCGATCGACTGCTGCAGGCGAATCAACGTCTCGTTCACCGGGCGATCGCCCAAGACGAGGTTCGCATTCAAGGCCTTCAGACAGGGTTGTGAGCACCTCTCCATAGTAGATGATTCAATCACCTTCGCCTCGCTGATCGCCGTTGCAAACTCTTTACCGCTGCTGAAGCCCATCTTGTTCAATTTCTGATAGAGCGACCCGATGGCTACCCCGATGATCCCGGCCTCGACATTGTGTATCTTGTCGCCTTTGGGGGAACATATCAGCACATACACGATGTTTGGAGAAGTTGGGTTTCGAGGTCGTCAGAGTTTCCTAGCCTTTGGGTTGTAGGGTTGAAGAATGGTTTGAATTACCTAAGCTCAAGTCGGATCGCTTCCACTGGCCCCAGATGACATCCCAGACTGACTTTGGTCCCTCCCTGTTGCCTGCACTCCTAGAGAGCCGGAATGAGTCAGATGGCACACACAGCTACATTGAGACAACGACAGCACACCTGCGGAGGCGACTTTCATCGAGCTCCACCATGATAGTGTCCGGTTTCACAAGAGTTATGACATTCTTTACGAGATCAGCACTGATTTCTGAGATATGAGCGGTCCCCACAATGTATACTTCTTGCTTCGTCTGCGGATTCACAAGCTTACTGATAGCCTGATCGCACAGGACTTTTGAAGCTTGATCTATTCACTGGGGTCACTATCGGAACATTTGAATATTAGATATCCACCTTCATTCTCAGCAAATGCATACGAGAAGAAGCCTTGGCTCGTAGGCGCTGCAATGATCAAGCCGGCAAGAAAAGATCTCCTTGAAATCGCAGCAGCCGTGCTCTGCTCCTGACTAGAGCACACCAACAAGGACTTATGAGTCGGGCGAAGGGGGGGTGCTTGGGTCGTGCATGCCCGTCTCAGGGAGAGGGATCCAGTTGGACCAACCGGAGAGAGGAGGGAGGGAGAGAGGAAGGCACTTCCTCCTCGAACTGCATACGAGTTCAGCACAACAGCTACCAGCATCCACGACGGCCCCATGGCAGTACACTGGGGTGTTACCATGAGGGGTATTTTTGACTATCCATGAGGGGTGGGGTAATTGTGATGGGTAGTTTTGTGTGGAATCGGGGGGTAGGGATGGTGTTGGTTCGGGATTTTCTTGGGTTCACCCCCACCCCCCCTTCACCCTGTCTTCTTTGCTACTTACCACCCCACTTGTTCTGAATAGAACCCTATGGGTCATGAGGTACATGCAAACGATTCCTGCCATGGTGAGCAGCAGGACGACGCTCCTGGCTGTAGCGGCGATGGCAGCGGCGACAGAGGGGATGCCGACATGCTGGCAAACAATGCCGATGAGAGAGAGCTGGCTGCTGGATCAAGGGAAGCGACTGGGAGGTTCGAGGGTCTCCCCATTGAAGGGGAGGTACCCCTCTTCTGCATTGACTTCGCGGGAAGCAAGCTGCCGACCGAAGTGGCAAGCTCCGAGCATGTGTCAGCAGACAGACAGGGCTGATATCGACAACCGCATCTTCTCTCTCGCGATCCCAGCACTTGGTTCCTTGGCCATCGACCCGCTTCTCGGCCTGGTGGACACTCTGTATCTTGGTAGAATTCCATCACCTTCTCCCCTTGCTGCTCTTGGCGTTTGTTCTTCCATCTTCAACTATGGTAGGAGTGACGATGTAGACGACGATCTCATAATGTGAGTTGCTGTGTTTTCCAGCTTTTTTCATCTTCAACTTCTTTGCGACTGCAACCACTCCCCTTATCTCACGGGCGCTGGCGGCTGGGGAGAAGGAGGAGGCTGCCGAGACGCTGGCGCAGGCGCTGACGGCAGCAGCGCTGTTGGGTGTTAGCACTGTGGGCCTACTCGAGTTCTTCTCGCACGGCATCATAGAGAGTATGGGAACGAGTCCCGACGCCTTCGCGTCCGCCGAGGGTTACCTCAGGATCCGAGCCCTTGCCGCTCCTGCTGTCTTGGTGAAGTTTGCCGTGTTGAGACCCATGTTGTCGACGTCTGATCGAGCTCTTGCATGCCGCAGCTCTCCTCAGTTGGCAATGGAGCTTTCCGAGGGCTGCAGGATACCAGGACTCCTCTGCTGATCTTGTTGGTGGCCAACCTGGTCAACTTCGTGCTGGACCCTCTCTTCATCTATGGGGTGAACATCAACTCAGTCGACATCGTTCAGCCGATGGGAGTCGAGGTGTGTGTGTGTGGTGGGGGTGGTTTTTTTGGGGGGGGGGGGGGGGCTGGGGGGGGGAGCATGCGAGAGGAGGAGCTGCCGTTGCGAACCTATCACAGGGCGCCGGGCTTGCCACTGCCATCGCCGAGTGGATTTCAGCTGGGCTCTTCATGGGAACGCTGCGCCAACGTGAAGCGGTAACGAGCTCCCTCATGTCGATGCCAGCTAGCCGTCTTCATGGCAGAGACGAGCATGTGGATGGTGCTGACTAGCGGACGTGCAGGTGAGCAAGGGAGTTCGAGTCATGAACAACCTGGTGCCCTTGGAGGAGGTGAAGCCGCTGCTGGTGGCAAGCGGAGCAGTGTTTCTGAGATCTATTGCTTTACAATCGGTGAGGAGGAGTAGAGGGAAGTTGAGGTGGAGGAGACGGAGGAGGAAGGAGTTGGCAGAAGGTTCAAGGAGCGATGTCAATCCCCAGTCTCACTTTCGCTCCATCGCGCAGGTTTTGACCTTCGCTACTAGTCAAGCAGCTCGCACAGGGACGGAGGCAGTTGCTGCTCATCAGGTCGGCCTGCAAGTTTGGCTCCTCATGTCCTTCGCTGTCGACTCGCTGGCTGTGGCGGCCCAGACTCTGATCGCTGAGGAGCTGGGCAAGGGGAGCAAGCGGGATGCACGAGTTATCGCAGACAGACTGACGACCCTAGCAGCTCAGATCGGTCTCTTGCTCATGCTCGCCTTCCTCGCTTCTTCCAGCTTCCTCCCCAAGGTATTCACTGCTGATGCCAAGGTGGACGAGATTGTTCAGCACCTCCTCCTCTACATCTCCGTCATGCAGCCGATCAACGCGCTGGTATTCGTCGGGGATGGCATCCTGCAAGGCAGCGAGGACTTCGCATTCCTCACCAAGGCGATGTTCGTCGCTGCCGCCTCCTCCCTCCTCGTGCTCCTCGCCGGTGAAGGCATCGACGGCGTTTGGAGCGGACTGGTCGTGCTGCAGGTGATGCGAGCAGCTGGACTTGGATGGCGCTATTACGGGGGAAAGGCTGCTGGAGGACCTTTGAATGTGGAATGAAGGAGGGGAGGGAATGGGAGGAGGAAGAAGAGGAGGGAGGGACGAGAAGACGAGGGAAGGGAGGGAAGGGAGGGAAGGGAGGAAGAACGTTTCAAGGAAGAGCGGACGTGGGGGACGAGGAAGAGGATGCGGTCATATTATTCATTACAAAGAATGAGATAAGGCATAACGTGATAGCACTTGTGTTCTATAATACAAACAGACTCCCTTGACATTCGCTTTCACCTCTCGGCATTCACATCGCTGTTGTCGTCGGAGCTCAACTGACCAACAAGCGTCAGAGACGAGGAGGAAGACGAAAGTAGCCGGGCAAGAGAAGATGCCGCAAAGTAAGAGCGAGAGGGCGGGACAAGGAAGAGAAGGAGCGAGCAGCTAGCGACAAGACAGAGGAGGAGGGGAGGAGGGGAGGAGGAAGAGGAGGAGGGAGGGGGGAGGAGCGGACGGGTCGCGCCGGACCTGCATGAGAGTCTCAGGGCTGCGGAAGATGTCGATGAGCATGGAGTAGAGCTCCTCCTCGAGCATAAGGTCCCCATGGTTCCTTGCCGTGTACACGTCGTTGCTGAGGGTCCAGAGCTTGCTGGTGTCTCGCAGCTCCGTGTAGATGGTGTAGACCACGTCCCCCGAGTTCGCCGCCCGGACCACCCGACCTGAGTAGCATGAGGAGCGAACGGGGGAAGGAGAAAGGACTAGTGAAGAAGAGACAAGAGGGGAGGAAGGAAGAGGCGGGTAGGAAGAGAGGGGAGGAAGGAGGAAGGAGGGACTGAGATAGGAAAGGTGGGAAGGAGGGAGAGGGGAGGGAGGAGGAGTGGAGAGGAGGAAGTAGGAGGAAGCATGACTTGCGTTACCAATGTACAAGACGAAGATGGTGTAGATGGTGATGAGAGAGAGTCCAAACTTGCTGAACACTCCTCCTGCCCACACAAGTCACTCCCTCTTCGTCTCCGTCTCCTCCTCCTCCCTCCTTCTACTCCCTCTTTTCCCTTACCCCCCCTCTGTCCCCCCTGCTCCTCTCCTCCAACGGACCGCTTGCAGGCTCGCTTGCTGTAAGGAACCAGATAGAGCCGCAGGAGGGCTCGTCCTGCTCAGACTGTCTGCAGTAGGAGGAGGAGGAATCGCAGCAGATGGACCACCACTGGAAGGAGCTGCCGCCCTCGGAGGAGCGACTGAGCGAGAGGTTCACTCCCTGCAGCCACTTAGTCTCTCCGTAGCGGAGGGGAGACGCGGCGTCGGAGAGAAGCTTGACGAAGGGGGAGAAGACGTTGGAGAGGACGAGGGATCCTGCTCCTTTCAAGAGAATGTCCTCCAGCTGGTCGGTCTCTGCAGGAGGGAACGTTAGAGGAGGGAAGGAGGAAGAGGGGGAGGAGAGGAGGGTGGGGGGGGGGGGGGGGGGGGAGGAGGAGGAGGAGGA